ATTTTTTCTAGCTGCTTCGGCTACAATGGTGAGATTAGAATGAACCCTACTGCAATATAAGTTACCTTGAGAAGCTACCTCAAGGTAGAATTTACCTCAAGGTATAATTTCGTATTTATTAAAAATTATCTCTCCAACAAGATTACCTGCACCAGCATGATAAACACTGACGTCTTCTCAGAGAAGGGCATGGCGGTGAATTGCTTTTTTTCATATCTGCATGGGATTTACGCGGGGACACTTATTAGGTTGTGTAATAAGTTCGTTCGCATTTTTTGTTTCGATTTTTCTCAATATTTTACAAAGCATTTGGCATAGTGTTAGTATGCGTTCGGAAGCTCTAAGTTTGCTCTACCAAAATACTATCATTATATTCTCAGTTTTTGAAAATTTGGATAAAACATTCCACCACAAATCGAAAAATCTAAAGTGGCAAAAATCCCATTTTCGACATCTTTTTTCTTCCTTAGTTTTCCCGTTATTCTTTGTTGAAATTTATCCAAAAAGCTTGACTACGAAGAAAACAACTGACTAACAATTTATGCATTTACTGATACTATTTACGATTGCCCATTTCCTTTCACCGACCGTCTAATACAATTTTTGCAAAACTCGGCCTAGCAAGGCTTTGCCGTAGCGGTGTTCGTTGTCTCGCGTCCGTGGGCTATGTGTCCCTCAAATTCTGAATTTTTGACTATATAAGCCATTCATTCGATGATTTAGCGATCATAGACCACATGTCTGCCAATTTCTGGATTATTCGGCTACCATCTTTCTTCAGAGGTGCCTTCAGATGCTTAACGTTGACACCAAAAAGACATAAAAACATACCTATTTTTGAGCTTACAATATGAATTGTTTTTGAAAGCTTTTAGCACTACAGGTAATCTGCGGGAGCTATAGTATTCTATTTATACATGTCGCAAAATTTTTGGGCTGTTTCTTAAGCGCTCAAACCCATTCAAGGTGCGGCATAACATAGTTGTCGAAAATGGGATTTTTGCCAATTCAGATTTTTCGGATTGTAGTCGACTTTTTTATTCAACTTTTTACAAACTGGGAATATAATGATAGTATTTTGGTAGGTAGACTTAGAGCTTCCGAATGCATACTAACACTATGCCAAATGTCTTGTAAAATACTAAGAAAAAATTGAAACAAAAAATGCGAACGAACTTATTACACAACCTAATATGTCTTTAGAGTGTAAAAAAACAGTTGGTGAATTGGAGAGGATAGGGTCTACATATTCAACAATTTTAGGTTTTAAGACTCTATCCGGGAAATTATCTGCTTCTAAGTACAATTTACTTGAAATGGAAAAAATTTCTCTGCGATGCGATGCCTACCTGCCTGAAGAATGTTATACTTGTTCGGCATCGTACATTCTCCACATTTTTGACATGCTTCATAAACGTTCTTCGTTTCGCAGACAGTCACAACTAGGGATTTGCCTAGTTTATTGATGAGATTGGAGTTGTTTCATACTGGATTCAGTGTGCTATGCTCAGAAACTGTTCGATAGGATTTATGATGCTCAAAATGCTGTTGGAGCAAATGAAGGATGTGTTTGACTTTGTCTGGTTCGGTACATCACTTTCACAGGAGTTAAAACACTCACAACATATCCATAGGATTAAAGAGAAGTGTAGTACCAATTTCTTTACATGTCTATAATTTCAGCTAATCTCAACGAAATTAGACAAACTTGCTGCAACGGCTTCAGTTTTGCCACTGCAGTGTTCGAGTGAAAAATCGGCCTCTAAAACCCTGTAGATTTCTGAAGGTATCACTAACCTTGCCTTTGGATAGAGTAAGAGTTTCTATCGTGAATGACTTTAAAGGCTCGCCAAATCTCAACCTGGTCAAATTTTCGCTTACCTGGGGTTATCCACAACGCTGATCCTGAAAATCCATTTTTGAGCGATTGAAAACGGCAAAAACGAGCGTTTTTCAATGCCCTTCCCGTTGGAAATGGACGAGTGGAGCAACGCTGATGAAGCTGAATCGTTGCTGGACCCAATGCTTGTAGCATTGCAGCGGGCAGTCTCCAATGGTGAGAAGGAAATTGCCAACTCGTCCGGACGCGTGTAGGATTGAAGTGCGCGTGTAAATTTGAGAGCAATTTTCTCGGCAGAGAAGGCATGCTATGTAACCGGAATGGCACTGTTTTCATACTTGGGCCGTAAGGAACCTAGCGCATTGAAGTCCTGACTTGTTAAGATTTGCCGATCCACTGCCTTTAAGGTAAAGGCATCAAGTTTGATGAATACGGATTTATCGCTGATAAGGCTACCTTGAGGTAGAATTAACCTCAAGGTATCATCCATTCCACATGAAATCATTTTCAAGGTTGATTTAACCTTGAGCATTTACCTCAAGATACATTGAAGAATACGGGTTTCGAGTGATAATCCTACCTCAAGGTTCATTTTACCTCAAGTTAGCAATGATGAATACGGCCTCTACTGGATTTTGAGCCAGCCGGAGAGCCACCTGAGGTGGCTCAGAGAAAACATGGTCATAAATTTTTCCCTTTCCAAATGGTGTTTTCGCTTTTTTCACATATTCAATCCAGATTCAAAACCTTACAAAGTAGTTTCTGAATCTCCCAAAACCTCTTCCTCCCGCTTAGTTACAGCCCTCCAAGTTTTTGGATGGTGGCGGCAATCCTGCTTCAAGCGCAGTGGTGATGGACACAGCATGCTGCCTATTCGGAGGACGTATCCAAGTGCACGTTTGTCCACTTTGACTCATGTCGCTCATAGTCACACTTTTGGCGGCGGAGCGAGCACCGCAGATTCCACGGTCTTTGTTTCATTTTTCGTGAGTAGTCACTTGGAGTGATCTACTATCATAACTTATAATAACGGGCTAAGGGTTGTTTACGTGTGTGTGTGTGTGTGTGTGTGTGTGTGTGTGTGTGTGTGTGTGTGTGTGTGTGTGTGTGTGTGTGTGTGTGTGTGTGTGTGTGTGTGTGTGTGTGTGTGTGTGTGTGTGTGTGTGTGTGTGTGTGTGTGTGTGTGTGTGTGTGTGTGTGTGTGTGTGTGTGTGTGTGTGTGTGTGTGTGTGTGTGTGTGTGTGTGTGTGTGTGTGTGTGTGTGTGTGTGTGTGTGTGTGTGTGTGTGTGTGTGTGTGTGTGTGTGTGTGTGTGTGTGTGTGTGTGTGTGTGTGTGTGTGTGTGTGTGTGTGTGTGTGTGTGTGTGTGTGTGTGTGTGTGTGTGTGTGTGTGTGTGTGTGTGTGTGTGTGTGTGTGTGTGTGTGTGTGTGTGTGTGTGTGTGTGTGTGTGTGTGTGTGTGTGTGTGTGTGTGTGTGTGTGTGTGTGTGTGTGTGTGTGTGTGTGTGTGTGTGTGTGTGTGTGTGTGTGTGTGTGTGTGTGTGTGTGTGTGTGTGTGTGTGTGTGTGTGTGTGTGTGTGTGTGTGTGTGTGTGTGTGTGTGTGTGTGTGTGTGTGTGTGTGTGTGTGTGTGTGTGTGTGTGTGTGTGTGTGTGTGTGTGTGTGTGTGTGTGTGTGTGTGTGTGTGTGTGTGTGTGTGTGTGTGTGTGTGTGTGTGTGTGTGTGTGTGTGTGTGTGTGTGTGTGTGTGTGTGTGTGTGTGTGTGTGTGTGTGTGTGTGTGTGTGTGTGTGTGTGTGTGTGTGTGTGTGTGTGTGTGTGTGTGTGTGTGTGTGTGTGTGTGTGTGTGTGTGTGTGAATCTCTGTCTGTCACTATTCGTAGAGCGTGTTGTATACAAAAGCACGAGCGGATCCGTTGTGTGGATCCCTCAAAAAATGCCAATCGGACCCACCTGGCTTTTGGTCCCCAAAATTGGGTCCGTAATTTCACTTTTTGCAGGCTCGTGGATGTTTATGGCAAGTAAATGTGCAAACCATGAACTTAGGCCCAAGAAAGTGATCAAAAGTTTATTACTTTACAAAAACGGCGCCAAAAAGTATCGGTTACGTAAATGGTCATTTTGCCAAGCTTTTACCAGAGCATTTGATGAGATTTTTGCACCTAAATGTAGCTTATGGTGACTACTGTTCTTATGGCGACTGTCAAGACTGTGGGAAAATCAAAAACGTGCAAAATTTTGCTTTGTTCTCCTGCAAAAAAATCTCATCCACGCGAAATCACCGATTTCACATGAAAAAGCTTTCGGAATGAGTAGTTGTTTACATTCTGTATATGATAGTCGGCATTGCTCGGTGAGTTTCAATGCCATCATTATGCGAGAATGAGTAGGGCCTAGATAGTAGAACCAGTGCGAACCTCTGCGAAGCAGAGGTGACGCACTGGTTTAGTATATCTCACGAAGGCCTTTCATATATCTACTGCACCATTGCTTGACGAACAATTTTGCTTTACTGGCTGTAATTCTGCAAATCATTTTTTACTAGTTTGATAAGGAATTACTAACAGATTCTTAGATTGTGCAACTTGTGACATTGATAAAAGATAGCCCTCCTAATTTCACCTTCCAAATTTCCTCTTCGAAAGTTCAAAATACATAAGCTTGCCATTCCGCAACCCCGACATCAAACTACATTCTAAACTTTACTACAAATCCCGTCTACCTTTCCTATGGGGTCTCTAGAAATTTCCACGTCTGGGAGGGATTGCGGCTAACATCTGCGCCATAGGATGACTATTAAATGGACAATTGAAGTATTACAAAATCACAGTGTTACACTACAGCTTCTTGTTGAGTTTAAAGTATGTCGTCTGATTTGCCTGAAAACAACCCAGAGCTTAAGAACAAGAAAGTTCTTGATAGTAATTTTTTGCGGTTCTGTATAAGATCAGCGTTTGGTCAGTATAGCTTTCAAAGTAGATCCGACACAAATCGGCGATAAGCAGGACCTTGCTGACAATGGGATTAACGAAGACAGTCTAATCAAGATTGGCAACCGTTGTCCACCGCTTTCCGCTAGCCTTCTGTCATTCTTAATAGGAATATCGTGTGAACAACAAAACAGACAACAATGTCTTGTTGTAGGTCTTTCATTTAGTCTTCCCTACTTATCCACATTCGGCTGGTCGCTTGCAACTAACCTCTCGTAACGTCGTCGCGATGTCAAACTATTGTACCGGTGAGTGCATCGCTTTCACGCAGGAAGCAGGCGGCTGAAGCAGACAGAGTACGAACCCGACGAAAAGCAATGCAGCACATCACAGAGTTCTCACGCCGCTACGTTTCTGACTTTCTCCTAAGAAATCATTAGTGGGGCAGAGCAGCCCGTATTTAATAGATTCCTTGTAACTAACGTAAAGGCTGCTGCATGACGAAGGCGCAATACCTTTGGGCCGATCGCGCTTTTATTAGCCGCAGAGCGCATGAGGCGCAGGATTTACAATGGTGAAGATACGCGCGCGCGCGTTCGCGCTCGTTCAACTAGTACTGCTTCTGCGCCTTCGTCATGCAGCAGCCTTTATGTCGATGTTATCAGAGACCTAGAAGATTCACTCGCGTGCGTGGAATATGTCCTGTCGTCAACAGACCCAGCGGCGAAAATCATCTCTCAAATCCGTCGTTGCAGGATCTTGAGAAGAGGTTTTTTAGATGGAAAATAAGATTTGTATATAGCTAGGGCACGTCTTTTGATCTTCTGCAATACTGATCACTCGGGTGTGCTAGGTACAGTGGAATACGAGCTTGCCTACAGCCGTAGACAATGAACTCACACGTCATCAGCATTAAAAGCGTGCATCACCGAGCAGAATAAGGTATTTGAGATGAGAAGTACTGCTGAAAAGTTACACTGACGCAGCAGCACTTTCTTTCCTACCACAGAATGCAAGGTCTCTGACCTCTGGCCTTAGATCTACCAAGACAGGTCTGGGCTGGGTATAAATATGAGCCCCCCTGCGTTGCTTTTGGTTCACCTGTATGCCTTCATTGTGCTCGCATAATGATGACTCTGAAACTCACTCAGCATAGCTGATCCGGCAAATGAAATGTAAACAACTTTTCATTTGAAAGGTTTTTTCATGTAAAGTCGGCTATCTTGTGAGGAACAAACTCGCAGTAGGACAAATATGAATGCGAATCGGTTGCTGGACCTAGTATGGTTTGATGCTACCATGAGGATGACGACCATTATAAGCCAAATTTCCATGAAAAATTTTCAATCTCTTGGGTAAGACGTTGACACAATGATCTGAATATTAAATCCTCTTCATACAATCTTTCTTACTAAATGTGTTTAATTTCTTCACACAATTGTTAGGATGCACATGTAATCTTCGCACAAATTTTAAAGCTAATAAGGAAGTTTGGATTCTGCTTGTGATATAAGCTTCGAACAAACTCATTCCTTCTGACGTGATGGCAGATTTTCTTCAAGCTTTCGACTGCGATGTACTTCCATTGATGCGGTGATTGAAGTCACTGCGCAAAAATGCAACTACCTAAATCTTAACCAAGCCATAACAAAACTTCTCAATTAATCTCTTCTTCAACTGCAGGTAACCACCGTAAACTTGTAGAAAGACTTTTCGTTGCGGATGGATCCAAGTTTTTCAAAAGCGTCAGGATCTTAAAGGCAGCGGTCCGGGCAGATAAGAAAATATAGAGTACAGGGGCGCCCGTCCTGGTAAGGCTCTTACCCAACTGGCAGTGCACCGATTTGCTATTGAAGCGAGAAATCCGCTTCAGAAGTGGTGACCGGAACGCCCCGGCGACCGGGTCGAGTTAGTTCGACAAGCCAGAGTGCGCAGACCGCACACAGTCAAGACGTAGGGTCCCACAAAGACTCTGCGTCTTAATCTTGGCGGAAACGACAAAATTCAAATCAAGAGCTTTTGGAAAAGCCCGTTTTCGGCGTTTTCATGCCCTTCAATGCATTTTCAGAATCAGCGGGAGGAAGAAGCCCAGGTAAGCGAAAAAAATTCTATTCGAAATCTTTCCCGGACGCTGCCTTTAAATTACATGCTGATGTTGGAGAGCAGCAATTGATGATAATTTTTTGACATATACGCGCTACCGTGGGATGGTCAATTGAGGTGACAGGGTTTTATGCAATCGAGAAGATCAATCGAAGGTATGTTTGGGCGAGGACAAGATGGGGACAATAGCCGAAAACCAGCATTCTGTAATGAAACTTTTCACAATTAGTAAAAGCCTTATAATTCAATTGTTTCGCGTCTTTCTTCTTGATATCTCCGCCTATGTAGAGCAATGAACATGCTTGATGCCTTCAGCAACGTTGAAAAGGCGTGGAGGACAACTACCAATCCTGGTGCTGAGGAGAACACAAGGCGACTTTTACGGTATTCGCCTCAACTTGTTGTCTGATCTTACTCTGGGCAATTAGAGATCGGTCTTGCTATCAGCCGGCGCCTCGAATAGGGTCCAATGTTTGCGGTTTTCTTGATGATTAAGTAAGAAAAGAATTTTTTTACCAGAAAGCAGGTTTGACCTGTCTTCCATGAAAAATGGTCGCTGACATAGCGGAAAAGCCACCAGCATTTCTTACCTACGCTAAAAGACTGAGAATTTGACCGTCCGCTTCTATTTGGGTGAAGTTGAAGGCCAAAACTTCTTCTCAACAGATGATCTTTGCCAGAGAACAAACTTCGGCCCTATATTTAGTTGGCCGCCTAGGGTAACCTCCTCGCCAATATTAAGGCTATAGGATGGAGATGGGGTACAATTTACTTGAGTTGAGTTGCATTCAATCGCTGGGTGACTACGGCAGATGGCACTGTTCTCGGCGCTGTTGAAGCTATTATTATGCTCAATAATTGCAGCAGAAATGGATGATAGCTCGACAGACACCTGCTATAAATTCGATATATACAGCCAAGTTTACTTAGAGATCCAGCTTGTTCTCAGTGACGTTTGACCTTGTCAGATACTTATTAGAAATAGAACCCATTTGCTTCTTTGAAAAATTTGTTCGGCAGTCTCCATAAGCAAACCTCCCAATCTTAGTACTTCTGGAGAGGTGTCTTCTTTCAAAAGTAAAATTAAGCGCTAGCGTTTGGGCTGTAGCCTTTTTACCTATCTTGATATAACAAGTTCCATTATCTTTGTTTCTGCGCAAACGTTGCCTTTGAAAAAGAATCGCCAAATGCAAATGCTCGTACTTCGCAATAAATATATTCCAAAGAATATCTCGTTTACTGCTAACAATGGAGCTTTATCTATACCTTTGATTGTTTTAGATAATTGCCAAATTCTTGTCGATGTCTACAAGGGCATTTACAACTACGTACTTAGTCTCATTGAACCAGAACCACCTTTTACGGTAGCAGGGTTTGAAGGCGTTAATATACACAAAGAGGTAATGTTCATTCTTTGTTCCTAGCATGTATTCCTGGAGGGGAATTTTAGGTGCGGGAGGCCTGCCGATGCTTAATAGTTCACACTGATCAGTTGAGAAACGTAATGTCAGTCCTGCACAATGCAATGGAAATGGGTCTCAAAAAAGATCAACGTAAGTTTAAGCACATATTCTCACGTAACTTCGTTCAAGTAAAAGAAACGCTTGAATGTTTTGGCATATGTGTAAGTTGCGAAATTGATGACTTGGGGGGGGGGGGGGGGAGGGAGCGGAAAGATTACCAAAAACATTTTCAAAGGCATGATTATTAACGCATTAAGCATGATTAGGGTAATTTAATACTGACCAACTGTTACAGATTATGGGTCCTCATATGCAAGAAACTAATGAAAAAACAAACTGTTTTTTATCGTTATGGACTAATCAATTGCAGTAAACTTGGTGAATTGAAGAATCTCAATAACTTTCAGCGGCTGGACTTTTTCTCAAGATGATCCCGTCGTACGTACGTGCTGTGCCAAACGGTACAGAGTTCGGAGACTACTTGGCACTAGATCTTGGAGGCACAAATTTCCGCGTGCTTCTCATTCGGTTAAGAGGCCGAGATGCAGAGATAGCAGGAAAAATCTATGAAATCCCCGTGGAAATTCAACGAGGAACCGGTGAAGCGGTTAGTAAGTCAATATTAACATAACGGCGCATGGAACAATATCTCTAAGAACGAATCTCGTACTTCTCACAAGGAAAGTTACCAAACTTAGTTCGGTCTTTTGGAAAGGGACATACATATTCTGAATCAGCTTTAAACGCTGATTTCAAATATGTTATTCCTAGCTGCCACGCACCATTCCGAAGCGAGTTATGGGCTTTTTCCTGCGCAAAATTGGCATGCTCGTCGATTTACGGGCATCACATCATCATCATCATTTGAGTGCTGATACACCTTAAACTTTTTTTGATGAAAATAAAGTTGGATTTAGACTATTTTGATACAGCACCTTTTTCTTGCAGATTTTTATCTACAGGCAGTCTTCCCATGTTTAGTAGTATGCCAATTTTGAAAAAAAGCCCATAACTTGCTTCGGAATGGCGCGTGGCAGCTAGAAATAGCATATTTGGAATCAGCGTTTGAAGCTAATTCAGAATATGTATGCCTTTTACCGAAAGGCCGAGCTAAGTTGGGTAGCTTTCCTTATCAGATGTAAAGACAAAATGACGTGTGATCGTGTGATCAATAAGAAATGAAGTTTTTTTGCAGTTGTTTGACCACATTGCTGCATGTATCGCGCAATTTACTGGGGAGCAATTTCACGGAGAAAGAAAGAAGTTACCACTAGGTTTTACATTCTCATTTCCCACCAGAATTGAAGGTCTTACCAAGTACGAAGCTTTAGTCCCAACTACTTTTATCAGAATAAGCAAATATTCCAGAGGCATATTGATACATTGGTCAAAAGGCTTCAAGGCCAGCGGAGTAGAAGGAAAGGATGTCGTAAGATTGCTCAAAAAAGCATGCAGGAAGCGAAGCGTATGTAAAGTGGAATGCTTAATGTAGAAAATGTAAAGTCTATGCAGGATGTTGATATTGACGTCACTGCAATTTTGAACGACACGGTCGGGACTCTAATGGCATGCGCCTTCAAAGAAAACACGTGCCAAGTAAGTTTATCTATGTATGTAAAATCATTCCTCGACATATTTGATATGTTTAGATGGGTGTCATCTTTGGGACAGGAACGAATGCCTGTTACATGGAAAAGCTCAATAGGATTGAAAAATTGAGAGGCAAATGGGAAAGAGATGGACTGCCGGACGAGGTGAGCTCATAAGGAGCCAGCTACGAATATCTGGCAGTGAGTTTCAGATGATAATCAATATGGAATGGGGCGCTTTCGGTGATGATCACTGTCTGGGATTCATTTACACGGATTACGACAGGGAAGTGGATGAAAAAAGCATAAATCCCGGAGTACACATGTGAGCAGAGAGTATACTCAAAGCAAGAGATCAGTGTGATCTTATAGCATCAGTTTCAAACCTTTTCAGTTTTGAAAAGATGATCTCTGGAATGTACATGGGAGAAGTCGCGCGCATTGTGATTACATCGCTAGCAAGAAAAGGCGTGCTCTTCAAAGGAGATTGTCTTGCAATCTCAAAACGAGAATGTTTCCCAACTAAATTTATTTCTGATATAGAAGCGTGAGTTCAAATGCCACATTTTTGGGGGTTGCTACCCAGACACATTAGTTACCCAGACACATTAGTACAAAGCACAAACTGCTCCAAACTGCAAACCTGATAGCCGCCATCAGCTCTTTTATTAGCAGATCCTCATATGTAGCGTGTTGAATCAATAGGAGTCATTGAAAAACTACAGTCACCTCCTTGGTCTCCATATTACAACTTTTCTAGTCACTAAATAGAGGCTGAGTCGATTTCGTGGGCATAGCTTCTCTCAGCTGCCTTGTACTGAAGCAGATCCATGCTGGGCGTCGAAAGTGGCTGAGACCATCTCTTCGTCTACCTAGTGGGGGATGGGGGATTATATTATATTATATTATTATTATGATTATATTATTACCAGTGCGTCACCTCCGCTTCGCGGAGGTTCGCACTGGCTCTCCTATCCGTTTGCCTTTCTCATGTTCGCATAATGATGACTTTGGGTTGAGCCAGACTTCGCGGGGAAGCGGCGTACGCGGCGTACGCAGCGTACGCTCGGTATATTTCATCATAGGAGCATACGCGGCGTACGCTGCGTACGTCGCGTACGCCGCGCAGTCTGGCCCAACCCTTTGAAACCCACCATGCGATGCTGAACATCACAAATGAATAGTAAACAACTGTTCATTCTTGAAGCATCTCCACGTCAGATCGGTAATTTTGAGAGAAAAAAACTTGTCGCAAAGGAACTCTTGCGAATTTGATTAGATTACCGAAATTGTTTTGGCTTGGTAGTCGTCATAAGGATAATAGTCACTTTGAGCTAAATTTCCGTGCAAAAATCTTTCCAAGTCTGAAGGTAAAACCTTGCCAAATCGACTCTAAGCGATCACCATTTCTTGGCGCTGTTGTCGCAGAAAAGCAAACTTTTTGAGCACTTTTTGGGCTAGAATTCATGAGGCGCAGATGTACTTGTCGGACAAATCATGACTTCGCAAAAAGTCGAATTAATGACCTAGTTTTGCGTGCCAAAAGCCGCGTGGGCCCGTTTGACGCGCAGTTTTTAAAGGTCCCAAATATCGGATCAGCTTGTGCTTTTGCATTTGTACCTACATGCTGGGAGGGTGCCATGACCAAAATTTCAGCTCAAGACCTTGCCTACCAAACGCTCTATGGATTTCGTGACAGACAGACATAAACACACACACAGAGACAGACAGACACACGTTTTATTATAAGTCATGATATAAAGTGGGAGGTCCCTCCGGACATCTGTAACAAATACAAATCTCGATACATGCAGAGGCTGAGTATCTGCTGTATTTTTCGCGCGTAACCTGCCCCACTTTCGGCGACATATAGTCCTGTACCTATCTGGTGGGTCCCACCAAATCGGCGGCCAGTTTAGAGACTCACATTTTTGAAAGAAATTACGTCCGTACTTGTCGATTCATGGGCGGTATCCTACTACAAAAGTGAAGCACAGTTTTTGACATAGCACGTCCAAAAAGTCAAATGCTATTCATAAAGTAAAAAAAATCAGTCAAACTTTGAAATTTCAAGTTTTTCACGCGATTGATAGACCACTGTCGTCGCTGTTCATCATCGCCATTTTAGTGAACTGGAAAAGGGAGGAAAATCCCAATCTTTCCCAAAAACACGTGAAATACTCAAAGAAATTGGTGTGAGGAATGTCAGCGAAGATGACTGCTTACATGTCGCTTATATATGCACCGTAGTAAGTACTAGGTAGGTTGCCGTCCTTTCGTGAAAATTGAGCGAGATTTCAATAAAATTCATGCGTACACCTATTTTAGTGGGGTCATTGTAACATCCATATAATTGTTATTTACCATGTGAATCAGTTTTGACGACATTTTTGCTTCTAAAAGTGCTTTTCTAGGATTTAGACATACTATAGCAAAGCTAAACTGTGCTAATTTGACAGCGTTATAGAACTCATTGCAGAGCTGCCTACTTAGTGGCCGCTGGTATTGCGCAAATACTTAATCGAATAAGGCGACCATATCCGGTCACAGTCGGTGTTGATGGTTCTGTGTTTCGTTTCCATCCGCACGTGAAACAGCTCATGCATAACAAAATCGGTGAACTTGTTGATAAAGGAATCGAGGTAAGTACTTCAAATTTAGACATATTGATTTCAGTTTCTCAAAAACAATTTTAGTACAAACTCATGTTGTCGAAGGACGGTAGCGGTATTGGAGCAGCTGTAGTAGCAGCCGTCGCAACCCGTATCAAAAAAGAAATGACCAAAAGTTCGAGCAAGTCTGACGCAACTGCTAAGTAACTTGAATATATTCAATACTGACGCATGATATGTATGTTGAATCGAGCTCTGTACGTATCAATCGATACTCACAACAATAAAGTTTCGGTCAAGATTATTAATTTTGTATCAATAAAAGTCTCTTACAACCGAGTTGGATATCCTCTTTCTACATCGACAATTTGTTGGTTACTCTATTCCAAACCTACGAAACCGTTTTTATTTGGAACATGTATTTTCTTTTTTAAAATTTGGCGTATACCGTCAAAAATCACGTTTCTCCCTTCCTCCCTTTCACGCCGCCTCACAACTCCTTATCCTCTCAAAAACGACATTTTCAGCCAGAAATTTTACTCTCTTTCCCAGCTGCTGAGGGGGCTCTTCCGCTTAAAATACACACTTTTTGGATTTTTAAAAGGAGAAGCTTCCCCCCCCCCCCCCCATCAATTTTTCAAAGATACCTCGATTTTCTAACAAAAGTTTATGATCAAGCGCAAGGCGCGAAAGGCGAAAAACATCGCATCTCTTACTATCTAGAGCCACAGCAAAACAGAGAGGGAGCAGTGGTTAGAACTTGAAGGAGATGGCCAGTGTGTTAGAGATGCACCTACAGGTGACATTGGTTGCTTTCTTTGATTCCTTCTTTTCTTCGTCGCTGCGTACACAAAACACCGACACCGTTGACTGCGGTAAAACTCAAATCTGTTGATCAAATTTCAATCGAAAAAACGCAAGTTGACGGATGGATCAATCTAAGCCAAAACTCACAACTGAAGCATTGATTTCGTTCAGCACGTAAAGGGAGGATTGGAGACAGTTGAATAATTCGATAATGGCAAAAAACTGGACTCCAAAAACATAAACAAAAGGGGTCAGCCCCCGATAGCGCTGCCACCGAGAGATCGATGATCTCATTGCCCTTTTATAGCGTCGGTCGCTGCTTGATCTACGTCGTCTGAGTAAGATTCAGCACACCTTGTTAGAGGTGGGGAGCCCCAACTTTGTTCGCGGCACGCTAAGCCTTAGGCATCACATGAATGGGCGAAGTCATGAGCCGTTGAAGGCCGTTATTTTGCTATGAAATCGTGCATGCAAAGCGCTAATTTGGCAGTACAGAGCCATGTTAGGCTTAATGCTGGTGGAAAGTATGAGCTAGGTAACTTTATATTCTTAAAGCTTAAAGATGAGCTGAAAGTGCAACAGTGGACCAATTTCGCAATTTTTTCGCAATAAAACTGCTCATACCTTGCTCCACAAGGGCGCTAAGCTGATATGGAGTACAGGTTCGAAATAACGTTGACTGCTTTATCGAATGGAGGTACGGCCGGTATTTGGCAATTGGCCAGTTTGACTTCTGGCCGTTTCCTTATAAGTTTAGTACGTGTGCTAGTGAACTCTTTCTTTGGTGAGTAACATGTCATGAAATGTTGAACGATTGATCTTCATTTAACTCCGTTTTTCAACTCTTCTTAAAATAGAGCTAAAGAAACGCCATGGTAGTATGTCGCTAAGCAACAACAAGTTCGTCGATTTTGATCACAAACGTCATTAAAAGTGAAAGATTACACACAACGATAAGAAAACACAAAACAACACTGCATGAGCTCAAAATGGGTTCGACAGTGTTGCGCTCTGCCGCAAGCGGCGTGCTCCAGTTCAAAATCAATTCTTCCACCAAGTGTCTAGTGGCGGGAGGACGACTATACACCCGAAAATAATCAGCTTACAGTAGTAAACACTTTCAGGCAACCAAACTTAAAGTTTCGCACAGCAATGAAAGAGAATGCGCGAAAAAAAGTGAAAAAAATTATGTAAGTCAAACTGTGAGCATATCTCCGTCTTAATTGGCTCCTTTTCCACTTGACAGCCTCCTGTGGTGGGTCCGGCCTAACAAGTCATCATTTTTTGCCCATATTTTCCTTCTGACTTTTCTCCCTAAATTCGCTCTTTAGCTAAAACCTGACTATTGATATTCGATTCATCCCCAGCACTGCCTCTAACTTGGAAACCGGCATTTTTTGAACTCTTACATAACTTTCTCTTAATTTCTATGTTTTTTCTTCTCTTCATTCGCTCAAAATTAGCTGCAGATTGTTCCAAAAATGCCATGAAAGGTGCTTCTTCGTACAGGAGAAGATTGTTTGCGAATCCTCCAAGTGCCGCACCCTAATCGTACATTACCGCCAGCCGCGGTGGATCCCATTGCATGTAATTCTAAAGTGAATCTTACTTACTTACTTACAAGGAAAGGATACTTGATGACCCCGACCATGTGGAATGCGATGTATACCATAAAGTGCATCTCGAAACGCTGATTTTAAATCTGTGCTCGAAATCTGCGAAATGATCATTTGAAGGCAGTTACAGGGCCCGGCACGCGTTGGTTTGGAGGTTTTTAGGAAACGAAGTCCCCCATGACTTCGCGAAAATTTACGAAGTCCCACTCGACGTGAAAATCAATGGAGAAACCCTTATTCAACCAAAATAGCAACAAAAAAGCGAAAAAAGCGCATTTTGAGATATTTAATATAACAAAAAAGCAAAAAGAAAACATTTTGAGTCGATTAAAGGCTCTGCCATTGTGTATAGTACCATTTTGATGCTGAGAATGTCGAAAATCTCCTAAGCCAACCAAATCTGTAGCCTCAACAATCCTGCGATGCATTTTTCGCCACATATTTCAAAGGACACCGCAAGTGACTGGCGCGCGATATCTATCAACGCGTAGAATTATACTACTTTTGACTCCAAAAAAGGGGAGAGGCAACGGTTTGACCCGCTCTCTTCACTATATGATAGATTTTTGACCGTTCTAATCGTCCAAATCAAAAAGGGTTAAAACTTATGTGAACTCTTCAATATTTATGCTCCGAACCAACCCAGTTGGTTCGGTAGTTGGTCTAGAAACCAACAAATTCGAGAACAGATATTAGGACACATAAGTTTTGGGAACTTTTTACATAACATATTTTGGAGTAATATTGTATACACATAGCCCAGATTCGGAGCCATGTGATTGTTTGTGCGCTGTAAACAAGCCATTTGTTTGTTTGAGTCTTGCATTTGAAATTCGCGCGCTTGCGAAAGAACACGTTTAACTCGTGAAACCTGACACGTTCGTCGTGTTTTTTTGGCGCTTCCTCCACGACCTCATAAAAACGATGTCGCCGTTGCTTCTAACTTCAAAAACGAAGTCCAGTTTGACCCCAAACCATCGGTGCCGGGCCCTGGGCAGTTATGGACTTAATTTCGTAGAAAATTTGTGTACTTTTAGCTAGTTAAAATCACCCAATTTGATCTATTTTACCGTTTGAAGCTATTGAGGAAAATCTTGAAAGGTGTAACTTGTATTTATACCTAAAGAAACCATAATTTTTATCAATGATTTTCACCCTCCGCAGTAGCGCAATTCATTTCTGAAAAAACAATGATATTTCTATCCACGTTCTCGTGGCGCAGATATGGAAAACAGTATTCGAACCAGCATCAAAAGGCGCATTCTTCAATATACAGATCATTATGAATGGCCGGGGTCACCAAGTATGCTCCCCTGTTGATACTTAGATGGCCCGTCCTCACGTGACGTGCGGGCCCCAGTACAGAAGTTGCCATTGTTCCCTGTCCCTCGCTTCAGGCATCCACGATCGGTGGCTGCGTCCACGAGTTCCAGGTGCGAAAATCGTATCCAGCTGATTTCTTAGCTGGTCCATCCGTTCCACGAACACGTTTGCCCATCTCGTCGGTGGTTTTCCTCGAAGACGTTTTGCCTCGCGAGGAATCCACTCAGATGTTCTTAGTGTGCATCTGTCGCCTGTTCTTCTCATTATGTGACCGTTGTTTGGCTTTCGCAACGCTGAGTCACGAAAACGGGACATTCTTCTTAAATCCGTACTGCGAAATCGCTTGCGTCGGATCAGTTTAGAAGACTGCGCTCGAGCGCTCTGTGAGTGGCTTCCTTCAGAGGCCCAAAGACAGCCCAGGCTGTTCTTGTTCTCCTGTTAAGTTCTTCCCTCAAGTCGTTTTCCATGTTCATTCAACGTCCGAGATACACGTAGAAATACGTCTCCGTAATAGAGTTGCCTTCCAATTCCAATTCTGCATCTTCGCAAAGGGCGTTCCTCATGAACTGAGTCTTCTTCCGATTTATTCGCAATTCGATTTTCTTCCCTACTTCGTTCAGTTCCTTCAGCATTGTTTTTGCTTCATACTGCTCGAGAAGAGAACGATGTCGTCCGCAAAACGAAGGTTCGACAGGTATCTCCCATCAACTCGTTGCGTCTCTCGTCCCAGTCCAGTTATTTCATCATCCACTGCAAGGCCGCGGTGAACAGCTTTGGCGAAATGATTGTCGCCTTGTCGAACCTCTTTCCAACTGCGGTGGTCGGAGGGGGAGGGGGTGATGGAACGTCTGCATCGTCGTTCAGTTTTTTCAGCATCGTCTCTGCTGCTTTGTACTATCCTTGTAGCTGTCGGCTAACGTTTTCACGTAAGCTGGGTCCACTCCTTGATCGACTAGCGCAGACAGGATGGCGTTGGTTTCGACGCTGTCAAAGGCTTTCTCGTAGTCGACAAAGGTCAGGACGAGAGGCAGTCGGTACTCCCGACAGACTTCTACAACCCTCGAAACGGTCTGGATGTGGTCCCTGTAGCTAAATCCTTTGCGAAATCCAGCTTGTAATTGGGGTTAGGCTTCATCCAGTGTCATTGATGTGCGAGCGAGGATAATCTCCGTGAAAAGCTTGTACAGCACACTCAGCTGGCATATTGAACGATAGTTCCGAAGATCCCCCGTTCACCCTTCTTGAAGAGAAGGACTCTTGACGTTCTCCACTGGTCGGGAATCCCTTCCTTCTGAAGATAAGATGTCAAATGCGAAGTTAGAACCTCGTGTTAAGGATACTCATCGAAACTGCCCCGATTCGTGCATTTACACCACCGTGGGCGTGCCTATTTGGAACCTTTCCAGCTTGACAGTACGCTGCAGCGTGCCGGGACTTCATAGCTCGCAGCAACAGTGTCCTTTAGCCCCTTTTGTTGATTCAAGTATTTCACATCGCTTTCTTCTCTTGGTTTTCGTATTTCACTCAGTCATTAGTTTTCCCTTTCTCTTAAATTTTGTTGATGTTCAAATATCCTACGTTCTTCTTTGATGAGCACTGAAACGTGAGGAAAAAAATTTGTTTAGGCACATTTCTTAAATTCCTCTTCCTTTTTAGACGCCAAGCATTCTTTTACGAAATCGTGAACCATCGCCTCGGGCAGGTGATGTGGGCTTTGTTCATAAACAGTGGTGGCTGTCATGGATTTTCCTTAGATGAGGCCACTCTAATGTTTATTTCAGCACTCCTACATGGTGTCCCTGCTGTAGGGCTGAAGTAGTCACTTCAGTGGTCTGTCCCAAGGAATATGTCACGTTACAAAACATTGAAGAAAACATGCAATCCCAATCATAGCCATGATATCCATCATTGCAACTACGAAGAAGGTCATTCTTTTCTCTACTTTGCTCACGGCGAGGATCTCACATAGACAGTAGAACGGCTGTTTGCCTGAAATGAAAAATAAGAAGAAAAACGATGTGAAATGCTTAAATGAACAAAACAGGTTAAAGGACAGGGATGCTGCTAGCTACCAAGTCCCCGCGCGCTGCAGCGTACTGTTAAGCTGGAAAGGCTTCAAAAAGGCACGCTCACGGTGGTGTAAATGCACGAAACGGGCGGTCGTCGACGGATATCCTTTAGACCCTGTCCTTCGGCTCGCAGAAGTTCGACGGAAAGATGACCTGCCTAAAGCCGTGGACGTCTTCATGGTCTGTATCGCGATACGCACTTCAGCAGGTAGAATCCTTGGTGGTACTTCTCCAGTGGGAACATCTGCACGGGTGTTGATAAGCGGCAGAGGTTGGTATAGAAATTCTTCGCGATAGATTCCATCTTGTATTGGGAAGAAGTCGGAGTCCCGTCTTCGTTCAGTAGTGCAGCCAGCGGTACGTGATATCCGCAGAGGTCCCTTTGGCACTTCTTGAGACTTCGTCTTCCTTCGGCTGCTTCCAGTATCCTGGCTTGCCTGTACTTCCTAAGTTCCTCTTGCAAAGCTGTTCTGCAACTGGCGTTGGCTATCAATCGCTCGAGAGGGGTTGCATTCGGATCCTGCCTCAGAAATCTTCTTTCGAGCAATTCCTCGGTGGTCTTCGAGATTTCCAAGAAGTCACTGAGGCGCACTTTCCGCAGGTTGGCAATCCTTTCAGAAGCCGGTCATAGTCCTACGTCGGGTCCTCCTCGATGGGCCAGTCACAACTCGATAGACTTTTCCAGCCTGTTACCGTCATAAACGACTTCCTTCCCTCTCGCGGCACTGTGACAGACTTTCTTTTCCAGCCTGCGACTGAATCGTATCTTCGCTCGAAGGAGGCGGTGATCGGAGCCACTGCAGAAGGATGGAACTACTGAGACATCGAGCAAGCTCCACCTTGTTGGTGAGAATGTGGTCGATCTCCTCGTGAGTCGTTCCGTTGGGCGATTCCCAAGTCCACCGGCGATGTTCCTTTCCATGAAGATGGAATGTCCATGGAAAAGTCGTGCGGCGGAGAGAAGCCCAACGAGACGGTTGCCGTTTTCGTTCCGGAGCCCATATCCAAACTTCCCGATCCTATATTCCTTTTCTAGTGGCATCCCGATTTTCGCATTGAAGTCACCCACAACAAACAGAAGGACTTCTCCTCGCGGACGACCCCCTCCGCATCTAGATCTAAAAAGCATCCAGTTCTGAATCGTCAGCTGCTGATGTTGGAGAGTAGCAGTTGATGATGCTGATGGTTTTCTGACGTGGAGATCGTAGTCGTAGGATGGCTAGTCGAGGTGACAGGATCTCATGCGAATCGACAAGATGGACGACAGATGGGTGGACGAAAAAGCCAACGCCTCCAACATTGATGGAACTTTCTCACCGAATGATGAGGGTTCCATCACTATTCTGTCGCACGTCCTTCTTCCTGGACTTCGTTTCCTGCAGAGCGAAAATGTGGTACTTAGTGCGCTCTGCAGCGTCGAGAAGGGCGTGGAGGTCGGCATTTGTGGAGACTGTCTTGGCGTTGTAGGTGCAGAGCATGAGGCAGTCTCCATGGCGTGTCGTCTGGGCAGACGTGTCGTTTTTGTCCAATTCAAAAGGCGCCCTGAGGACCCTGACATCGTTCTTGCTACCACCCGGCGCCGTAAACGGGATACGATGTGCAGAGTTTCTTTCTGTTCTTCTAACTGGTAGAGTAGCAAAATTTTTGCCCTACAAGAACAGACTTACTAGGCCTACTCTTGATTTCCACGGAGCGATCGCTGACCCGGGTGTGGAGTGGAGAGAACCGCCTAGCGACCAAAAAACCAGACGGCGGTGGATCTGGCCTGGCCGGCTCTTAGCTAGGCATCCGGCTGAGACCGGAAACGTCGAACTCCTTTACAGCTTGGGAGGCCTGTCAGAGTATACACTCGGCTGTGCATCGCAGTTCGACACCCAGTGTCACCCCACGCCACGATGAGGCAGCCGACCATTGTGGGAATAAAGTGAATCTTTAAAAACTAAACCAAGGAATACGCAAGCGCAAATTTTATTTTACCCGTTTCTACAGCAGCTTCTACAGAGAGCTGAGGATGTCGGTCATAGAAAAAATGAAACTACAATATAGACACATATTTCAATTCCTGATGGGCATTATTAGGCTGCATACCTGTTACGCCATACGCAGCTTCAAAGGGAAATCCGGGGCGTTCATCCGAAGACAAAATTCAAAGCTGGATGTTTTTCCGAGCTAATTTGCCGATAGGTAATTCAATACGGTGTCAAGTTACCATAGAATATGGACTTGCTTCCCGTTGGTTTAGACTATCACCAGGTACATAAGTTTCATCTATGGCATCCAAAAAAATCACTCATACAGTTTTTCTAAGGTTTTAATAGTATTTAAGAGCGTAACTCAGCTGAGGGATATCGAAAATTTTTGGGAGATGTGTGAGGCCACGGTGCTTTAAACAGCTCAGCAAGTTATATAATAATTTAGTCACTGTTTTCTCTAGAGCAATTTCAGCAATCCCTTGTGAGACTTCTTGTGACTGACAAACATATGTAGGTAAACTTCAAATGATGAGCTTAGTTGATGATCCCTCACAAACGATGTTATACTTAAATTATTGAAGAAACTGTGCGCTGCAACCTAGAGCCACAAAATGCGATTTCAGTGGCCAGTTTGGCGATTTACCACATGCCTTATCTATAACTTGCAGACTGAAAGTGTATAATGTGTATAGCACTATGAGTAAGTCATAAACAACCCACTAATATCAAATCGCTGGCGAATGGAATAGCGTGAAGTATGCTCGGACCTAACTTTCTGTTTTGTTTATGTCAAGGGACGACGACACGCACTTCGAATTATAGCATAGGATACTATCCAAATGATTTTCGACATGTAGGCATTTCAACGACCCTTCCCCTACCCTTCAATTCAACGAGATTGGCGGCCGGAAGGCACCGCACGCGCCCGCGACGCGGTCTGCGTCTCTCGTGAACGTACTCTCTATGATCATTTGTAGCATTAATTAGGTCACAAAGCCCCGCTTTACAGCCGCCAATTAGAGGGCACGTATCTTTTCTTCGAAAAAAATCATTAATTTTTTGGAAGTGGAGATTCTCGTTTTTTTCGTCTATAGGGTTGAAATGTACGCTTTCTCACACCGCAAGAACCATACGTAAGTCTCTTTGGACTTCTCTGGTTTTTGTAGTTAGGAAAATCTGACTTTTGTTACATGTGCGATACAAATGAGGGTCCTTTCAACTTCATGGTTTTTTGACGATTTTGAGCAAGTTTCCAACTCCCATTACTGGAGTCACAACTATGTTTTGCGCTAGCTTCGATGTTTTCAAACAGGGGATGCTTGAAAGAAGTCTTGAAGATAGATAAAGAATTAGGAAAATTTTAGAGAGATAAAAGTGTATCCTGTTTTTTTTTTCACAGGATTCAGATGAGTGACTCTGTAGAACTTTCTAAAGCTCACATACCTGCAAGCAGTAAAACCTGCATATCAAAATAGCAAAATAGATTAAGCAAAAGTTAAGTCCATTGACCATCATCTGCCTATCACTCAAGAGGACAGAAAAATATTTTTTCTGATGTAATAGCTAAGTAATTTATCTATTTGTATTCTGTCTTAGATATCGATTTCTGTTTAAGCGACAAATTTCGGAAATAGACGCTTGTGGCAAAATTTGGCCCTATGCTGCTCTCCAAACGCCGTCGGCACTTATGAGGCCACAAAATCCACATGACCTAAGGTCGTGACCTGTCCCGTAGTGATGCAAACAGTCATTATCTACACTCTTTACTTGCCAAACTTTTACAGATCATAACATTTCATTCTCTACAGGAACTTCAGTATTTTAAGACCATGTACTGCCGCCATGAGTGATTGTAAACAGTTCCCATTTTTCACACTGCCATGTGATATGCAAATTGAAGTTTTGAAGAAGGTCTGGGTCTGAACTCTATGGAAATGCAGGAAACAATGACTTATTTATATTTTTACAGCTTCCTCTCAATGATATACTCTCAGCTCGGCTTGGCAGTACAGCTTTGAATAATCTAGTCGAGCGTTATCGTCTTTCACTACCCTATAGAAGTTTTCCCGATGTGCAATTTCATCCGGTAAGTACTATTTAGGTACTATTTGATTTTTTATCATTTATGATCTTTGAGGTGATGAGTGATAGCAAGCACATGCAGTATGAAGAGAAGACGTTTGCTAAGCGATTTATGAAAGGAGAAATTGGCGGTTTGACTATATCTTATGTGAGTTTCAATCATTGCAAAATAATTTTAATCTAAATTCCATGAAGAAAGTTGAAATGTTCTCCAATTATTTGGAGTTGGAATGAAAGTAAAGAAGGCAAAAAATCCTAGAAAGAATTATAGAAATTTTCGCTAAACTACCAAAATCATGATAAGAGCCATATTTGTAACTAAGGTAAAAAAGTAATCTTTATTATGGAGCGCCCTTTTCGGCTCTTTGCTTTATTTGTATAAAATATTGATTTGATCTCATATTCTATTCTATCAAATTATATGCAGTGATTATTTTTGATATTCCCTTACGTAAACTTCTTTTTTTTCATTTTTGATTATTTTTATGTCCTATATCTGGGACCACCTACTTTTAGATGGAAATCACCAACGATTTTATCGCTTCACTAGAACGAGCCATAAAACGATCTCGTATCCGTGTCTACCGTCTGGGATTGGATTACTGTCGCATTTCTGTAGATGCTCAGTCATTCTCGCACTTGCTGGAAGTTATGGGAATCTTTGAACTGTCCATTGTTCACACTGTAACTGTCAGCAACACTTTTACGCTTGATTTGGCGACCAAACCTAGCGTTAGGAGGGTAAGTGTTAGCTAATGGTTAATAAACATAAAATTGGCGGTATATTGCTTGTTGCTTCAGCTGGAGCGGTTCGGAATTCTTCTGCCTACTAATATCGATGACGAGTATATTCTGGAATCGAAGAATGACTGGTTGGCAGTTTGCGGTACAAATGTCACCGAAGCAGCAGTGAATCGGTATATCAAGGTAAATTTAAGTAATTATTGTCTTTTGTTGTCTTCATCCCTCGAGCCTAGTGACTTTTACCCATCCATTTTATGTGAAACTCAAAAAAAAAAAGAAGATAGAAGTCTGTTACACAAGAAGTAAAGGATGCAAAGTGAACATAGAGCAATACCGTAATCCTCATTCTACCAACAAGTTCCAAACAAGATTAAAAGTACTGTAGATTCCACCACTTTCCAAAAATAAGAGATTAAATTTGCTGTAAATCCGCTGCATCTTACCCTCTTCAAAAAACTTACTTAGGTGGTGTCATTTGTTCCGACCTGCTCCCTTGTTATTACCAAGATAATTAGATTAATAAAGAAAATTTGGATTATTTTGAGAAACGCGTCTATTTTTTTATTCGTTTTCTCGTCTTCACTCTACTGAAAGAACGGCATCAACATTTTTCAGGAGTTTGTCGAAGGCAAGAGGACCTTCCAATACTTGGCACTAGAGCTGCCGAACACCATAGATTCTGCTAACATCCTGCTCGACATTGACTTTTACCTAGATATCGATAACAGTATCCATTTCTTGAATAAGCAGGGCGAACGCAGAAGTTTGGGCATTAGCGACAAATGCATCCAAATTTACAGTGACATGGCCATCCACATGATTGAGCAGCATATGCAACAAACAAAATAGATATAATTCGTTGACATTTGGATGAGATTCGATTATTTTGGCGTATAATGCGTAAATCGTCGCTGTCTTTTGTATATATAATTATTATTATGTATATGATATTATGTTGGTTATAAGCATTGCTACCGTTGACGTTGATTGATTATGAATCATACTGTAATGTTATATTATAATATCCACTTATGTTGACTATTAAACTATTGAAAATCGCGTTTGATTTTCCGCTATTTCCTGAGATATATTTTTTGTTTGTTGTACGGGTGTGTATTTTACCGTATTGAATGCTGAACCGAAAAATTTATATTTTGTTTAATATTGACAAGATGGTTTGTTTCTGTCGCTTTAGGTGTTATGCCTAAGGCATACCTCGCGCGATTCCGGTCGCTGCGCGATTTGGCACAACAGCGACCTCCTAATTCGTCGTTAATGCGCTGCCTTTGGTCAGAACTTGCTCTGTTTGCAACAACTTACATAAGCTACTCAAATATGCGTCCGAGAAGTACGCACGATAAATTTATAGAAATCTGGCAAATCGCCAAGTCGTTGAAAGTGGCGATTCGGCCGAATCGCGTGATGTATGCCTTAGGCCTTAGGTATATTAGCCAGATTGCAGTATAATAATAAACTTTGATACTCTATATTTCGTACGAGGTTCGCCCAAGTCCTCCGTCGTCCATTGGCGACCACGCCCCTATCGGTGGACGCAACGTCGTTCGGGCCCACAACGTCCAAAAAGGTTTTTGAGGTTTTCACGCTTTCGAGACTTTGTATCTGCGAGGATTGACCTAAACAGTGGCAGTGGGCAGTAGCTGTAAGAACTAGTCTTTTTGCTCTTTTGATTTCTATACAGTGTCAGGATAAAGGTTCATGACGCCTTTACCTGGATGTGTAGCGGGTTTACATAATCCTTACTCTAATATTTATTATATAAGATATATACAAGAGAGGAAGGGGAAAGGGGGAAAGGGCACCGGCTCCTGCCGGCGGGCGGAGGTCACTGCCAGAGGTTGGCTATCCTAGGCCAACCTCCATCCTAGGCAGCTGTTGGGGATTAGCTGCATCCCGACATCTCCATTCCTTTAAAAAGCTCGTCCTCGAGCTTGTTTGATGGTTGTTGAATGTCTTCCGAGTTACGTGTGTAAAGAGTACACGTGTTACGGCGAGACCATAGAGAACTTCGATTACGGTACCATTATCCTCAGATTGATTGAGTAGAGGAGTTGGTTTAGGCGGATTGGATAACCAAACAGCGACCTTCACCTCATCCTAGGGGTACAGAGTGAGCTTGTCCTCAAGCGGAGAGATATATACGGAATGAACGATGTGACGTAGGGGACTGCTTGGGAGAGGCAGTAACATGTAGTTGTAGGAAGTGAACAGGCGTATTATAGCCGGAAATTGACGAATGGGAAAGTTGGCGTGGAGATTTATAGGAGTATAATGTGACCAGTATTTAAATGTTGATACAAGGAAGTTATGGGTTGGAAGGGCACTTGTTGTAGAACATGTTAATAAAAAAGCGTGGTGAGCAGAAATTACATAGATAACAAAAATATTGGGCGATATTGAATGACATTAGTGATTCTGAATTTATATTTTACATGAAGTAGCTAAGCGACATGTGGAATTTTAGGAAGTATAATATAAAATAAGGCATTGTATATTGTATTTGAACCGAGTGACATATGGTTATACAGCATATAAATAATGCGATCGATTAGAAAACGGAGAGGAAGATTTAGATGCAGAATTGAGCACAACAAACTGTGTTTAATTCAACATAGTGGCAAATTTTGAGTGTTATAGAAATGGGAGATTTTTTTTTTCGCTGCCTAGCACAAAATATTTTTTTCATTCTTTGAACTGCCGATTCAAAGAAATTTATGCTTATAGATAATCGCAGCGGTGCGGCAAAATAGGTGTAAACAAACTCACGTTGAGATATATCCCGACAGCAGAAAAAAATAAAACTCTGACAGTCGGATTTTTTCCAAACTGAGTTTTGCATTTGAAGATTGTCTTGCAGTCTTGCGACCAAATTCAGGACTACATTCGTGAACAAAACAAACGTGATGTCGTTCATGTTCTGATGTTTCCTTTTTTTAATTGTTTTTTTTTGAAAAAAAAGTGGTTTTTGGAAGCATTAGCCCATTTTCGACATAGACAACATGAAAATGCAAACCAAGTTATACAAAAGTATTAACAGTACATTTTGGCATAGTAAATTATACGAACAGAACGTTTCCACTGCAGAAACTACGATATGTAACTTTTGAGTTATAAGTGTAAAAACTTCAGGGGAAATGATCCTAACATCATGTGTGGTAATTCACGACTAATTTGCAATCTAAGAAAGCTATCTATGTTTCTTCAACGTCCAGATCCAATATAGAAAATTTTATGGTGTGATTGTCCCTGAATTCTGCTGAAATCTGTAAAGGAATCATTACCATTCTTTTCTAGGGTGAAATAAGAACTGGGTGACGTAAAATGTTCTAAACAGTTTCTTTTTCATTCCCAAGAATGAATTTCGGTGCGACAAAAAAACTGTGCCTCCATTGCTTATTGTCAGCTTCGGTTGATCACCTTTCAAAAAAAAATTGCGGAAATTTCTTCTAAAAAGAATATCAATCTGGATATCTGAACATGTTCAGAAGCACTGAGGATTTTTTTTGGCAAACAACAAGTTATTTCTTCTGCGAAGCGTTTCGGTTAAAAGAGAATTGTTCTCTGAAAACAATCTCCATTCAGCTACAAGTAATATTCTCTATATTTTTAATTGTAGTTCTGATTGCTACGTTTAACAACGTAATGCAGACTTGGTTTGTGCAATCGCACAAAACTGGAGGAACTGCTATATTCCAATGTTCTTACCAATAGTATGTCCATTAATTAGAATCAAAGTCATGAGCGCGGTTTTCAATGAACTGTTACAATCGATGCATGTTTTACAACCATTTTGCGAACTTCTTCATTGTTTGAGTGTGTGATTACAGGTCTTATCCAGAAATGCTGAGGCAACGAGCCGATGTGAATTACTTAGAAAAAATTATTGCACTTTCGGGTTGTCAAACTCAAAAAGTCAATGCAAACAGGACGATGAACGAATTTTTGTAAAAGAAAGTTTTTTTTTCATTAGATTTGTGCACAATCAATAGAAAAAATTACGTCATGGAAACAACTCGAAATCTTTCAAAAAACGTTCATCCAGAAGCATAATCTTTTTGACTAAACTGCCATCACTACCTTTGAATTTTCTTAACATGCAGAAACTGAGCTTGGCCGAGCTCTTCGTTACTGTCGTTGAATTCAGGAGTGCGAAAGAAGTAAATAGTAATCAGACTTTATGCTAGCCTTGCTCACACATCTCAAAAGTAGTCCGATCTGCAAAAAAAGTGTATTTTATCACTTGGTATGGAACGACGATGTTTGTGGTGTAAAAAGATGCATTTGAATTGAGCAATTAAAGTGAAAAGCTCTTTTTTTCTGTTCCCTAAAACTGATAGTTTTAAATTTTTCCTCATATTGTAAGGCACCTGAAAATGTTTGTGATAAAATTGATATCGAAATTTTTGCAAAATTCAGTAAGTTTATTTGAAAATTGATTGCGTCATGGAATTTTGGGATCTGCTCTTATTGCTTCTAAAATAGATTGAATTGAGATTTTTGTTTTTTTTTGATAAAAGTGATTATAACCTTGCTAGCCTTTTTTTTTGAAGAGAAACCAGACCAGCAACGGTTGCACATTTCATATCATCCTCTAAAAAGAATTTTTTTCATCACGATGTTCAAAAAAATATAAGTTAAGTTCTTTTTTTTGAAAATGTCTTTCTTCTCAGTTTGAGAATGTTTTCAGAGTATTCTTTCTTTATGAATGCTTCTGCAAAAGAATTGGAGGTTGCTCTGATGAATGACAAATTTCAGAAGTAGTGGATGACTGAAAAGTTCGTAGATCTTGTGAAAAAAATGATTTCAAGTAGAAATCTCGCTGTCAAAATATGAATGTGAGTTTTTGTGATTTTACAGTCCAAAGTTCCTTTCGATCGAGATCAATCATGCATTAATGAAAGTTCGAAAAATAAACTGAAAATAAGAAAGTTTGCTTTTGAATCTATTGTACCAATTTGATGTTTTCGTAAGGTTCAATCTGGAACTAAGAAAATGCCTGGTTTTTCTTTTCGAAGTTACATGTGGAAGTGCAGGTAACCCCTGCAAAAATGCTTTTTATAACAACATTTTTGAGTTTCAGATTGGTTTGGATGTTACGTAATCAAATCAAGCCGGAGTTTGAGAAAAGAATTTTGAAGAATTGATTTTCATGTGGAGTAATGTTTTTCTTAAGCGAAATATTTGGTTTGTTCTGGTATAAGGTCTATTCTGAGTAGTAGTTTCTTCCTTAATGCATTTTTATGATGACGAGAAAAAACTTCTAGCAATTTTTTTGAAAAAAATTATGAAGAGTTCCAATTTGTTAGAAACTTTATCTCTTTCAATTTCAAAACCGTCAGCAGAAATGTTCTCTGAAAACAATCCTACTTCACGTTACGTCAAACACTGTGTGAACATACTAAGTGTTGGGAATGATCTGAAAACTACTGAAAGGGAAAAAAATGCTTGTCTGTGTTACAACCGCATTTTACATATACCAGTAATTGCTTGAAATTTCTGATGTAGATCAAAAGAGAAAAGAAAGTGCAGTGTTTTCGCAAAATTGTTCAGCCTCATAGAAGCTACACCTTTTTTTAGTATCAATTCTGTATTTCAGGAACTTTGTGAAGCAAAACCCTAAATGTAGGTTGTGCAAAATTTGTAGTTTTTTTTCAGACTTACCTCAAAGTTGGAAATTGTCAGTTCTAAGCAAATGTATATGCAAGCACAGTGTAGCTGATGCATAGAGTTGCAATATTTTAGATGCAGGCGTCCCCAAGAATGAAATTTTCGAGAGTGTTTTGAAATTGAAATGGATAACCTAGCGATTTTTTTTCGCTTTTCTTGTTTTCTTTTTTTTTCCAGGCATTTTAAGAAAATTTCAATTCGAAATTGGCATCAGGTGTTCCTCATCAAAGTTGAGTTGAAAAGTGTATGATATTGATTGAAAGCTCGAGATATTACTAAGTAGACGTAGTTGGAACAAAAAAAAAACTGATTAAGAACATAACATTTACAAAAACGTTGAAAAAAAATCACTCCCAAAATTTCAATCATTCAAGGAAGTTTTTTCACTCATTTTCTTGGTGAAAGGACGCTGAATTTTGATTTTTTTTATTGTAGAATTCTAGGGCTTTTTGAGCTGGAAAGTATACCAGAATTCTATCTTTGAGGAAATGGTGCCACCGCAAATGTGACAAAAATCTTATTATTTTTATATCTGACATTTCCAACCTTGGAGCAAACTCGATTGCGCTTTTTTTAAAATTACCATCTAAGTCTCAATCGGACCGATGAATTTTAACAATAAGAATTTGATGATATATCACTAGAGTATAGCTTAGCGAGTATGAATGTTAGAAGCAGAGGATGTTAAGTAACTCAGATCGTTAGATTTTTTTTTATAAAATCTGTACTCCAAAGTGTGAACTAATTGAAAAATTTCAAGTTCAAGCGTCTAAAAATCAATGCATATGGCGAAGTATCCAACAGAATTGATTGCATTTATAAAGCAAGACCCGCTGTTTTTGCATTTGCGTATATTAGAACGCAATTAATTGGGTACAATATGGAAGCGCATTATTGTGACTATAGATTCGAAGGACAAAGACTACTGGATTTTTTTTTCAAGCAGCAGCAATGATTGTCATCTAATTTTTGATACATGGTGACTGTTCCTCAAAGTTGAGGTATCAATCTACATATGTAAACTTGAAAAAGACGATGAGGATCTGCTTTCGTGCTTAGATGACGTGAGATCTGATCTATGCATGATGGATTTGCTGGCGTGATCAGTTATCAACATTGTGGAACTATTAGCAACGTGTAGATAATCTAACTCAGAAGTTGCGTAGTCCTCTCATGTCTTTTTAGACGGCGGCTGCGATGCGATCAAAAGTTTCACTACTAGTCTCCGGATTGACTTGTAGGAGGCATGCGCCGGGACCGATGGTTGATGCATCGGTGTGGATGATATAGGGTTTTCCTAGAATAGGAAGCACTAAAACAAGCGCATCCACTAGGGCATGTTTTAATGCTTGGAATGCTGTTTCTTACTCCTTGCTCCAAAAAAACTGCATTTTTTTTGCGCAGTTTGTTTAATGGATGGGAAATTGTAGCAAAACGCGGTAAATCTTCAAAAGTACGATCCTGCACTAAGAATGATTTGAATGCTATTATTATCTGTGAGGCGCGGAATATCACCAAAGCTGTCGAGAATTTTTTTTTATTGATCTAGGCGTATATCATTTTCATGAAACAACAAACAATATAATTAGTGTTGTGTATAGTATGAATATTTCTAAATATTTCAAAAGGTTTGAAGTGGTTTTGTATTCGACAGCAGATGGTAAATATTACGATAATATAATTTGCGTAAGATATACGGCAGCGGGACATCGGGCACAACTGTTATTGTTGGCAGTATAAGTTGCATAAGAACAGACGTTAAGGGGTCATACTGTGCAACTGCTGCTGTTGGACGTATACCATGATCGTAAAGGATTAGGTTACGCAATTATTAATCCTGTTCCAAGGCTTATCGCGACACAAAGCAGACGTATTTGCACTATCGCAGCTGAAAGGTCATAGCGCTCAAATAATATTAATTTGTCACAAAAAAAATTTGTCGCGGGTCACATGCTTACAACTTGCGAGGGCAGCTGCGTTACTCTATAGCCAAAGGGGGTCACCGCGCGCGGACAGTAGCACTGGGTTTTGCTATATTTCCTGAGAGGTCGAAGCATTACGTTTTGTCGACACTTCCCAGCAGAAGTTATCTGCAGTGGGCCAGCAGATTTATCTTTCTGGGTCTAATACTGCAGTGAATTTTGTGCTAGCAATTGCGAACAAGTCCATTGTCTAATTATAAAAAAGAAAAAAAAAGAAAATAAGTTAACAAAAATTCACGGAATCACGGTTTCACGGATTCACGGATCACGGATCACGGAATCACGGCAATTTTTTCAAAAAAAATTCACGGATATGCAATCACGGATTCACGGACTCACGGATCACGGAATCACGGATCACGGGAGATGCGAGCGCTTTGCGAAAGAAAGAATTGACAAAAATGGGACTGTTCGCAGGACTGTTATTTTTTATTTTATTTTACTTTATTTTATTTTAATTTATTTTATTTTATTTCATTCCTTCTGAAATGATTAAATATTTTCACTGCACACGATTATTATAGATAAATTAACAAAACAGTTAGAACTCACACACTCGCTTTCATTCGTTGTTGAGTGACTCCATCCAGACGGTTGGAAGATTGTGGCAGAGGGGAGGAGGGGATCGAATATTATTTATCATATGGTTGATTGGTTGATTAAAAAAATTTTATTTTAGGATTTTGTCAGGATAAAGGTTCATGACGCCTTTACCTGATGTGTAGCGGGTTTACATAAGTCTTACCATAATGTTTATTATACAAGTTATATACAAAAGGGGAAGGGAAAAGGGGAAAGAGGGAACCGGCTCCTGCCGACGGGCGGAGGTCACTGCCAGAGGTTGGCTATCCTAGGCCAACCTCCATCCTAGGCAGCTGTTGGGGATTAGCTGCATCCCGACAACAGCTAGAATGTAGATTACTCCATATTGTTGCTGATTCATTGCTTTTGAGTTAGTTAAATTTTGGAAGCTCAAGGACGTTTTGAAAGTTGTGAAGTCAGGACCACGCATATCCGTAGCCTCAGCTATGCAAGACATATTGGTCTCAAAAAATTCATATCGTCAAATACCCTCAACTCATCTGATTTTACACTGAAGCAAGAGCATGTTGCGCAGCAAAAATTATACAATCCATTTCTTGAGAGATTTATCACAAATAATTGTGTCAACATCTTTTTTGAATTGCTCCAATTCTGTGAAATTATTTTCTTTTCATGACTGAGCACTCAATGCACATAAAGATTTTATCGTTTTTATGCGTTCCAGAATGGACTTCAACACAAGAGGTATTCAGATTTATGCGTGCTTCAAGACTTTTAGAATTTAGAATTGCACTTCAGACGAGATATATCGGGAATTCAATTAGTTATAGCTTGCTTTTGTTTGCATTTTCCTTGAGGAAGTCTCTGAGATCCGCCCACCATTCGGGCTTCGGGTTGGTGTGGCTGCGGAACTCCTTCATTAGCTCCTCGTAAGGCCTAAGCCAGGCATAAATCACAACCAAATCAAGAATTCCAACGATTTTGACTCACTCTCCAGTACTTAATCCCAACGCAGAGTTGAGCACAAAATCTGGAGGTGCAATTGCGTCCACTAAAGCTACTGCGTCGGGGAGAAGATCTCGCTCAAGACGTCGAACCGCGTCGTGTACTCCATCACCGAACTTCGGTCCTTCACAGTATCCTCCTAGAATTTTAAGTAATCGTTTTTGCACAGCCATATAATAGCTAAGAAACGTACCTATGTACAGTGATGCCAGATGTTTTTCAAGGCAGTAGAGACCATACAATGCTGGCATTCGGAGCAAAACCTGATTTACTTACGAAGTAGTCAATCACTAATAGAACTATAGCTTTGTTTGAGGATTTATTGAATAAAAACACATTTGAGAGAAATTCAACATTGCTGTAAACAGGAAATAATTTATGTTTTCTCCCTGACACCTGCTTGCTCAAATGAATAATGTTGGTGAGATGTATGGGTATATACTTCGTTCTACATAAGGTAGCATTTATTCATAGCCGAAAAGTAAGACTTCAATGTCTTGCCTAAAATACGGTGCTCTTTCCGAACGAGCCAATCAGAATTCACGAATACGGTATTGAGGTTTCGAGAAAATCGAATTTCTCTGCCATGAATGTATCAGATGAGTTTCTGTTGATGCAATAGCTTATACTTAGTTCAATCTTATATACAAAGCTGAATGTCTGTCTGTCTGTATGTATGTATGTCTGTACGTATGTGCGGAATAGAAATATTTCTGAACCGATTTGGATCAAACTGGCACACATATACACTTCGGGGCAGGGAGCGTGTCATAGGCTACTTTTCGTTGTCGATCGATATCGATTTTATCGATTTTTATCGATTTTTTTTTGCAGAGTTCACCTATGGGGCTGGGAGTTGGCACAGGGGGGAAGGGTAAGTGGGCATGGCGATTCCGAATACGATATTAGTTTTTGGAATTACCCATTACTTTTATCGATTTTATCGATTTTTTGCAAAGTTTGAGCTACGGGGCTGGGAGTTGGCACAGGGGGGTAATCGAGCACGCTGATTTCGAAAACAACACAGGGAAAGGGAAATGAAGTGTAGAAGTGGGTACAGAGAAAGGCTGTACAGGGATAGGGATGGGACCTTTAACAGTGTTTTGACAGGGCCGAGCGGAGCCGGCTAAGCAAGCTAGTCAGTGTATAAATAAGAAGTTCAGGTGGAAGCATTTGTCCGTATATATCACGAGCTGGCAAACCCGGCTCCGCCTGGTCCTGTCAATAACTATTCAAATCAGCACGTTCACTTACTCCCTCCCCACCCTGCACATCCTGCACACCCTGCACAACCTGCGCCGAATGTGCACAAACACAAACGCACTCACGGATTTTCTGCTTTATATATACAGGGTGTCCCAAAAAGATGTGCACACTGTTTAATTGTAAATAACTCTTTTGTGATGAAGTGTTTCGGGAAGCTTTAGGTACCATTTTGTAGAGCGAGGTTCAACTTAGATTTACAGTGTAGAGCGGATCGCCGATCTCTCATTCTTACTGTAGGATTACGGTAGAAACTTTGAAGAGGGTTTTGAGCCATGAAAGGCCATATTTTGTTCCAAAAAGAAACCAAAACAGTTTGAAAACTCTCACACAGGGCTATCTAGAGTTGCTGATTCTAAATGTGAAGTTTGCAACTCTTTCTAATACTTCATTAAAAAATTATGCGAGGTAAGCAGTAGCAGACGTTTTTTGAGTGTTCCTAAAAAGTGCGGTTACACCGTTTAGAAAGCTTCTCAACCTTGTAAAGAGTTGGGTATTGAACTCAGGGTTCATAAAAACCCTATTACACAAATTTCCACATTTTTTTTGAAAATTTTTGAAACGGCCTCTTTTTTCACAGTGAACCATATGTTTGAAGTTTTTAACGTACTCCTACAGTAAGAATGAATGACCGGCGGTTTGCTCTACACTCTAAATCTAAGTTGAACCTCGCTCTACAAAATGGTACCAAATTTGTCTCGAAACACTTCACTACAAGAGAGTTATTTGCAATCAAACAGTGTGCACATCTTTTTGGGACACCCTGTATATAGAGATTGAGCTTCTAACAAAGAAGCAGCTACAGTGCCTACGTTGCCCATGCAAACAACTATAAACGGTAAACCGTTGGTGTAGTACCCCCTCTACAGGCAAATTCTTGAGCTTAGTATGTTGCAACATCCATTACAGACGGATTGGATTTTTCTGGTCGCAATTTCTGTTTCGTATGTTTACGGTAGCACTTGAGCCTATCGCATCATGATTTCGTCCGTGATTGTCGATTCACGATCCCCTTTTTAGTGGACCCAAATCATTTGTTCTCCAAATGGCGCTCACTAACACATATGGTTGAAGTGTCATCAGCTCTCTGCCCTTTCTTTGCTTTGATGAAAATGGCTTACCTGACAAATTCGTGGATCCTCCAGCTCTCTATAATTACCAGCAGCCCACTGAATGGCTGTATGTTCTGAATAAGCAATACCCAGCATTTGAGCCTTGTGTACCTTAGTTGATAAAATTTTTAGAATACTAATATCCACAACGCTACATAATGTATACCTGAGATCGATTACGAGCGTCGAAGGTGTCACCACCGTTGGCCTTCATCCATTCGTCAAACGACTTTCTAGTTTCGTTTAAATAGTACACGATCAGCCATCTGTAGGCGTGGAGAACATCTAAAAAAAAGCTTTAAGAAATTTTGGAAGCTTAGAGTCGGCAAGTGTGACGTTACTGACCTTCTATGATATCTTCTCCAAAGTGTTTGAACCGTTGCGGTTGCTTGTTATTTAACATTTCAAGGGTCTTCATTGGACTGTCGCTTTTGCCTGCTCGGGTCTATAACACCATCATAAATTTTCTTCAAAAACAAGACCCTTTTACAATGTAAGAGAGTTAATGCTTCAATACCTACCCACTCCAGCATGATGTTGCTGGCTTGCTGTAGAATCATGAAGTTTTCACCCTCAAATGTTCGAGACGGATCGAAACTATCTCTCAGCTCGTTCAGCCTCGAAGAATGTAGGAAACTAAAGCAGAGCTTAATAACTAAAAGCGTTTCTACTTTTTGGAAAGATTTTAAGGCAATATCATGATCAATAAAAGCGAGGAGAGTTTTTGTAATCTTTCAGGATTTGCTAGGTATGAGTGTCCTTGGATTTACTATATTAACATTGCTTTGCTAACTTTTCCCGGAACTTCTGCCAGTCGTCACAATATGACGTTCAAAACAATATTTACGACTGCCGCACAAAATCGAATTAAAAACCGGTCAATGTCAAAAACAGAAGGTCCATAGATACGATGTGAGACGGAACAAACGTAAGTATTCGCAAAAGTGTCACATTCGAGTTCGACAAAATTCTTCGGAAGTTTCGCGAGGATTTTGCTGGAAGCCATGGAGATCACACACAGTATTTATGGTAAAACATACCCATGCCCACCGCAGGCTAGTCGGGCCTGATCAAGCGCTTCTACGCCAAACCAGGTTGCAACTGGCTTGGCTGCGGATGACAAGGCATGGATCTCCTTGGCGAAATCTGCCTTGAATTTTGCAATAAAAATTTATGCTGATTATGAAAGCCAATTCTACTAACCAATTCAGCTGACTTTTCTCCGCCCATCACTCTCATCATATAGCCAGTGAAGAGGTTCCAAAACCTGAACTTCGTATATGTTGTAAATGTCAATGCATTGAATTCTTGAGCGGTGGTCACCTTTTCTGGAATGTTCGCAGTGTGAAATGACCAGCCAAGTAGGGGAATAGGCGATGCTGTTGCAGCGGGTATTCCAGCACTGGGATTTCTTCTATAATTAGAACAGATTTAACGTGTTTTTTTCATTTCAACTGCAAGAAAAATCGTCATAATTAGATTTTTGGAGCTCTCTATTGCTATTCTAGCAATTTTAGCCTAGCCACTCACCTCCTTTGTTAGGTCCAAACTGTCTGCGACATGCACTATACCGTATACCGATAGTTGCTGCGTATCCACTAGCCATTACACCTTTACCGATTATGCCAATCCTGGAAAAATTTTCATGAGTTCTGTCAATTTTCAAGCACGCCATTTTTCCTCATTTTTCCCCAAGAACATCTTGTAGCTGACGAAAAAAAGTCAAAATTTCACTCGCCAAAATTTTCTCGTTAGTATCTCAGTTTCGAAATTGAAGCAACATTAACTACTTACCTGCCTATCGAGAGCGCTCCAAGACTCACAGACTGTCTCTCGCTTGTCGATTTGTACTCGGTAATGTATCCTCCCGCTTCTGTGACGTCACAACCTTTATTTAGCAGTGTCCAAAGTGGTGCACGGTGATTCTGAAAATAAATCCATTGAAAAATTTTTTCAGGAAAATACGGTATCACTCGAGGCTATGATTGAAGATTTTCACGCAGTAGCAGTTGAATACAGATACACAGTTTATGAAACGGCAGTTAGGCTGCCAATTGTGCTGACTCTGCGTCATGCCAGAGTCGTGCTAGCGCCGTGCCTGGACTATCGATCAATACTGCATGCGTGCGCGCGTGTTCCGACACGGTGTTGGCACAGCTTTCTGACGCAAGCAGCTCTGAACGCTGTTTCAAAGCAAAATAGAGACTAGATTATTTTAGTCTATAAAGAGTTTTTTTCCAAATTACGGTATAGTTATTGTGTGTTTCCATAAGCTTCCAACAGATTAATGCTCAAGAGAGAGAGAGTTATGGTAATCTGGCCTTAAACCGTGCTTACCTTAAACTCTAACCATCCATTTTCTACGCCATTCCAAGCCCCTGGCTTTTCTCCCATATCACCGATGGTAATGCCTTGAAGTGGCTCATAGGTGTGCATGTCTCTGGAATGTTGTAGATTGTTTGCCGCATTCTTTATTGTTGTCACTATAAATCTTGGCCTTACCGTACTTGAAGGATAAACGCATGAACTCCTTCGCATTTGCCCTTGACGTATAGCTGAGCGAAGACTACCGCGTGAGTAGCCGACTGGGCTGAAAACCAAGTTCAAAAAGCTTTTCTTTCTGTCAAAATCCGATATCTTCAAGTAGTTATTAAGAAATATAAATTAGTTTCTTACCGAGATTACCAGCCCAGCATTTGATGGCACCCTCATTTGGACAGTTGAACACGAATTCTCCCCGATCGAATGTAGCTGTCGTTTGTATTCCTTGCGTGTTCGAACCATGACCGATTTCAGTCAAACAAAAACAACCGACAATCTGAAGAAAAAACAGTGCGGTCGACTGTCACTCAAAATTTGAAGAAGCATCGAAAATACTGGGATACTGCAGGTCTTGAAATTCGTCACTTATTTGCAAAATGAGAATTCTTTTGTACATAGATTTACAAGAGGTATCAAAATTTATACTACTATTCTGCACTTTCCAATATTATTCAGATTTTCGAATAGCTTATGATGCAGTAACAGATTAACATTTTTTTTATTCTACCAGTGATAAGATCAGGGGAGATTTGCTTTTTTGGATAGTCATTGAATTTTGGATTTTTGTAACAGACGGAGTTTAGTTCAAATTAACTTTGGAAAAAAGGGGAATTCCTTTGCCTCCAAACCTGCCTTGATGAAAACTTTTTTACTAAAACGCTGCTTCTCAATACCAAGAGTAATCTCATAAATTTGCTAATTTGAGAAACATACGGCCCAAGCAAATAGTTTACGAATCCGCTGGCGTTCACACCATTTGAGATTTGCTTCTGACACATCCAACCCTTCTATACATAAAGTCATCTATAGAGCCATCTACTAGAGAATGGATTACAAATTTTCAAAAAATATTAGAAAGCATTAGATTTGCGTTCTGGGCCCTTCACATCTAACGATGTTCATGATGGAAATAAATTGGATAGATTTGAGGATATTGGAGCCAAAAGAACGTGTTATATGAGAGATCCAACGCTACTCCATGTAGTTTTATGTGGTCTTCTGAACCCGAAAAAGTCAAGATCGTAAATCCCGCTTACCTCATTTTTCCTTGTCTTTTCCTTGATCTCTTCGTGACGTTTGGTTCCCATAGATGTGAGAGCAGCACTGAACACCTGCAAGAGGAAAAAAATAACCATCGAAAGTAAAAGACGATGTTCTTACAGCAGAATGTAGAACCAAACGTGCAGACAAGCCTTGGTCGTAAGTTTCTAGTATTTCGCCAAGACATTTATAGCTTTGCATATCTTCGAATTGCTGAAAAAAAAAACAAAAATAAATCCTAGGTAGAGCGCCGTGACAAAGCACGACAGTACATTTTGCGATTTTTTGAATGATTTACTTCAGATATTGAGACCCAATACTCACGTCAGTGGGCAATCCTAGTTCGATTATCCTCTTCCAGCGTTTATGGTTCAACTCTCTCTGCTCTGTCATAGATGGACGGTTGTACTTTCGAGCAAATAACGGTTCTTTCTCAAGTTTTGCGTAAATTTCGTCCTACAAATAGTGATGTTCGATGACAATTTTTAACCAGCAAAAATGAAAATTGTCGCTGACCAATTGTCACAGGTCCTAGTTCTAAGGTTTAAAACTAGTCTGACAATGGGCATTCGTATGCTGATAGTAGATTCAGATGAGCAGTTCTTTCGAGAAAATAATAGCTAATACTTATAACAAACAATCTGCCTTTTTCGCTTATTCTAATGTCATCTCGATTTTAGTTGGTGCATCGATTGTCTTACAATTTTTGGATACTCGGGTTACCTCTAGGGATCGAGATTTCACTCACCTTGATTCGCACTTCGTCAGCACCCTCGACTGCAACCTTGAGATCTTTCCAGTTAAACATAGCTTTTTGGCGATAGTGATCGAGTTGCGACTTCATCTTTAAAATCTCTTTTATATATTGAAGGAACGGCGCAACAAGATTGAGCTGGATAGAACTCAAAAATAGAACATTTCACATTTGTTTTAGAAGCAGGTGAGAAGAGACGCGAAGAAGATTAGAAGAGAAAAGGAAAACCACAGCTTTTGTGATATATGTGGAAGTCATTATGAACAAATGTTTCAGTCAGAAATCGAACCACATATTTGAAAAATCCATCCAGATTCAGATGCAAATAGTTCAGCTTTACGTTTTGCTGATACCTAAACCTCAATTGTTTGAATTCAAACGCTGTAATCCAATGTTTGTGAGTGCGAATCTTTTGGCGAGTTTCCAACAGAAGGTAGGCTAGACTTTCACTTCAAAATACCTACTAAAATACAAAGTTACCTATAATAACTTCGTCCAGTAAGTATTGTAGGGACATGAGATTAGCTTCCAGTATCAAAGAGAGAACTCAATTTGATAAGCAATTGTTGAATGGCATTTTTAGTTCATTCCGTAAAGTGACATAGAAGGTGTGATTAGTATCTTTTATCTTTTATCCAGTGAAACTATCCAGCATCCCCATCTCCAGAAGAAATAAGACAGGATTAGGAGAGGCTATTGATATCGATAATAAACAAAAAACACTTTCAAAAATCATCGCAGGTGTAAGTCATGGCTACCGAGGTGAGAATTGTGCCTTTGGAAGAATCTTTCCGCTTTATAATTCCGACAAATTATCTCAAGAGTTTACAAAATTCATCCAAGGGCAATCTATCAATATTATGTAAGTGAACCAGAAATTCTTCAACATGCTTCAAACAATTCTAACAAGCTGCACTGCGAACGCCAGCTCTACTCAAATGGTAAACAGGATGAAGCGTATCAGAATTTTACGTTTGAACAATGCTGAGAACCAGGTGCGAGTAATCGATGAACTGCTTGATCGGCATTGATAAGACGACAGTGTAGTCGAGTAAAATTTACCAAAACACATGAGTGCAGGTATAGCAGTTCTCGAGCATCCCTTCTTACGATTTCGATTTGAAAAAGTCCAGGAAGTAAAGCAAAGCAAAGATTAATCAATTTTTAGCTTCCTGAAAATTACTTATGAGTAACAAATTTGAGACCAGGAAGTGTTGTACATCCAGCAGAAGAGTACAAACGTACGTCTACGCTGGGGGCGAAGATGATGAGAGGTAATCAAGGTGTAAATGGAGCAATTGTTCAATTACGATTATTGTATGCAAAGAAAGAGCTGACTGCCTATCATGTAGAGTCAATCTCAAATTCCAAATTTGGTTAATATAATTTTATGGGAGGCCAAATGTAAAAGATGTATGATTGATAAGTGCCTATTGTCTTAAGCAAATTTTATGTCAATCTTATATTCATCTAACCAGTTCTATGAACAATTTGTCGAATATAAGTTTGACCGAAATATCAAAAAAATCCTTTTCAGTTTCATCGGACGTTAGCTGACGGTGACAGCATACTGGAAACCATTGACAGCGATTTTTTTCTAAGGGCTTGCTGTGCAAGTGCACTTTTTTATAAAACACTTTGATGAAAGAATGCAAATAACCGCAAAATTTTGCACAATATCTATTAACAGAAAGGAAATATTAGGTTGTCCGGAAATTAATGCCCATTTTGAATTTCAACCGCAATAAGTCATACACTTCTCACTTCTAAATAGGTTGCAAAGTACCATTCGATAGAGCAAAGCAAGCTCTAAAAGAAGGCAATTTTGAGTTAGCAACAGCTCTAATCCATCACGAGTTTCGAGCCAAAAACTAAAAGAATTCAACTGCCAGAAAAATTGAGAAAAATCGTAACTCCGTTCACAAAAATTCTACAAAAATTCTTACTCGCTCACGTAAACACTATCCACATAAAACATCTATGTATGCCTTTGCCGTTTTTTTTCTGTTAGAAATCAAGAAAACGGAAATTTTCGTGCATTTGCCAAAGTAGTGTTGTGCCGTCCCCACATAGGCAGTTGTGTACTACAAACTTGTAGAAGTACAAACGTAAATTCTCAGCTCTCTATACGCTTTAGTTCTTAAGAAATTTGAATTTTAGCTTCGACCACCTAACTAAGGAAAGCTATATTCGGCATTTCTCGAGAACTAAAGCTTGTAGAAAGCTGAAAATCTGAGTCTGTACTTCTACAGGCTTGTGGTATAAAACTACCTATGTAGGGACGGCACAGCATCACTTTGGCAAATGCACGAAAATTTCCGTTTTCTTGGTTTCTAACGGAGGGAAAAATACGGCAAAGGCGTATATAGATGTTTATGTGGATATTGTTTACGTGAGCAAGTAAGAATTTTTGTGAACTCAGTTACGATTTTTTTCGATTTTTCGGGCTGCTAAAAATACGGCAAAGGCGTATATAAATGTTTATGTGGATATTGTACGTGAGCAAGTAAGAATTTTTGTGAACTCAGTTACGATTTTTTTCGATTTTTCGGGCTGCTGAGTCTTTTCAGTTTTTGGCTCGAAACTCGAGGTGGATGAGAGCTGTTGCAAAAGCAAGATGGCCTTTTTGTAGAGCTTGCTTTGCTCTATCGAATGGTACTCGGCATCCTATTTAGAATTGAGAGGTGTATGACTTATTGCGGTTGAGATTCAAAACGGGCGTTAATTTCCGGACAGCCTAATATATCACTGAGGATCAAGTGATGTCTATCTCATTTTATCGAATTTCTCATGGGGCTGTTCTGAAACTTCTCAGCTCCCTAGCTGTAAAGCACACAAGGGGTCAGGGGTCTCTAGAAGGTCAAGGGCAGAAAAATAATGACGACGGCCCCTATCTTGATGTGCTCTTCACCAAACATTTCAACCTAGATTAATTGCAAAGGATTTTTTTCTTTGTTTTTGATCCATTAAGATGAATGAACCGCCGATCCGCGGAGCACCACGTCAACCGTTTCATTTTTTCTTTTTAGTTTGCCAGTTCCAGTAATCAAATAATATGAGCTTATGATATCTTTTGTAGAGGTTAATCTTCCTAGAGAAAGTGAAGAGTAGCAGTTTGATTCAATTTTATAAAATGGTCAACAGATGGAATGCGCACGATGTAAGCAATTTTGTTAAAATCGTCAATAATTGCAAAATAATTTTGCCTGTCGCTTTTTTCAACATTGACAGTTTCAATTGAATTGTTCCCTCGTTTTATTAATTATGTTTCACCCTTCCTTATAAGTCATTTACTAATTTTCTGACTCAAGAATCAGACGTTGCAAGGAAAAGAACCAATGAAAAAATACTTTCGAGTACACGAGCAGTGTGATGTTTTAAGGATACATGCTGATTAGAATGCTTTTGAGTGATCTTGAAGAGAACTTTTTATTCTACTACACTCCCTCCACCTTATACAACTATATTTAAATATACTTCATACAATCGCAAGCAAGTAACAAAATCTCGTCCCTTCCCGGTTATCTCTGAAGAGATTATATTTGTACTGAAGTATAACAAATTTTGTCCCAGTCTTGTGTGATTAAGCAGTACGACATACTGTTATTCAAATATGTTTTACAATCAGTCGGGAGTGATCGACAAAATAGAAGATCTGAAGATGATCGTCGCATTTTTGAATGGACGGTGTTGGATAAAGAAGTGCTTGGTGGGCCAGGCATACTCCACGCGATTTCAGTCGCGACGCGATTTGGCAATTCGCCAGAGTCTCGAGATCTAGCACTAGCAACTGCACATGCATAGTGTGTATAACTTGCGTGGATTGATAAAATGTTGATAAAATGCCCTATCTCTGTACGTTTAAAGTGTGCCTACAATGAGTTATGGACAGTTGGAATATTGCCAAATAGCGTCGCGACTGAAATTGCGTGAAGTACGCCCGGCCCTTAACGGCATAAAAAGATCATTGGCTTCAGTTTTTTTTTTGTGGAAATGTTGACTGACAACTCCTAAATTTCTATGTTGAGAAGGAAGCGAATAGAAGAAACACCGAGACCAAGAATACAAGTTTTTAAATTGCGCACAAGTGTTTGTACTGTGTTGTTAGGGACTGTGCAACCAGTTTTGATTGCACATCTGGCAAGATCATACTTCCTCTTCAACATTTTGTCGATCGCTCACAGACGTCCTTGCGCAATGGAATTCCCCTTTTCAAAAGTTTATTTTCCATATTTGTGGCTAGTAATGGCAATGACAAAAATATTATGCTGTGATTGAAATTTACACGTTATTAAAAATCTTCAGTGAGGCATCAGTTTTCATGCGAGCGCGATTCAGAAAAAAGAAGTAAAATGTCTTTGGGATTGGTTGAATAACTCGTAATTTTGCATGCAATTATTCAAATCGATAGAAAATGAAGTGAACTTACAGTTTTGGTTATTCGTTATTTTTGGCTTGCTTCTATCTCACAGATTTTCATACTGAGGTCACCTAATCATTGCTCACCCGGTCTTCCGTCTAGACCTTTACGATAAAACAATGCTCACACCATCGTGCTATCCTATCAGCCCACAAACCATCACCGGTATCAAATGTCACCCCAGTTGCGACGCACTTATTTTTGTGCCATACTCATTGTTGCCTCTCAGGCTTCTTGCTCTTTGCAGTTCCAGATATCAACGAGTTTAATTCAATTTGTTGTACAATCAAATTTTCCATTTTGCGCTTTAATTCTTGATGCTTATCATCGATTCACTTTATACAAGTGGAAAACCTTCTATACTCGAGTGATTTGGAAATAGTGCAACTGCGTACACCTGACCCATTGATGATGATGTGGACCACCGGTGGCCCACACCTCTTGCAAAATCATATCCTTCCCAGATCTAGTATTTTTTTTTCGGAGTTCAGCATTTTTTCCAGTTTTTTGCACTCTTGGAACTGTAAACTTCGTCGTCCAAGAAGATGGCTGTAGTTGTTTACAAAACATTTTTACATTTCGTTAATAAGCACAGAACCTTACCGCGCCGCAATTGTTGTGCAAAATCGCGTTGTCCCATAGCGCCGCCACGCAAAATTAGGCGTCGTCGTCAATGGGTATAGGTAGGTGTGGGTATGGGCTTAGGTATGGTCCATTTTGGCTACATGCACGCATGAATTCTGTTATGCCTTACTTCTGTGCCCTACCTTACGTCTACCCGAACATCTGCAAAGGTGTATGCACTGTAACCAATCAGAAAGGAGAAGACGCGCAATGTGCACAGTCCGTAAGTGCACTATCGCTTCGAATGGACCCGACTATGTCTTCAACGGTGATTATGCACACTTGACGGCAACACTTGCGCTGATAAGTGGCCATGAGGGCGCATTTTTCGATACTATATCAGCCGTCAAAATTGCAAATTACAGCTGAGTAAACCTGGTTTTAGTGACCGGAAAAATCCGGACTCAATCTATAATCCAGAATAAATTTTTGAAATAATATGGTATAGAAGATAAAACCTGAGAACGGATCAGCCCTCGATGAAATTTTATTTTCGCAATATTTAGGTATTTCTGCGTTCGTAATAAATGGCAAATCTAATCAATACACAACTCATAGTCGTGAAATAGAAGGAATAACAACCCTAACAGCAATACTTATGTCAGACGAATGTCAGACGTGTTCACATCATCAAATTCGTCAATCCTTAAATTATTTATTTCCATTCAGCCGAGTCGATTTGGTGACTATTGCAGTTTGAAGATCAAAGTCTAAAACAGACGGCAATTATATATTTTTTCTCCCCATAACATTACAGAAAGCGGCCATTTTCAACCACATATGTATAATTTCATCTTCTTTTAGCCTGAATGCTAATTGAAAGAACCTCTGCCAAAGGCGTGCTTCAAACTTCAACTGAAAACATGGCAATTTGTAAGTTTGCCGTAATAAATCTGCACACTCCGCAAATGCGTCTTTCGTTGTCAATGTCTTTTTTTGAACCCGAAATCAAGGCTGAATATTGCTGAAAATCATGTTGTTGGTATTGCTAGATAGTTATTTTCTTGCGAACGCCTATTCAGCGTATCGATTTCTTTTTTATGTGTCGAATTATGCCATCGTCAATGTGCGTCCTTCATTTTAGCCTCTTGTTCGCTATTGTTCCTTTTTCGTTCGGTCACATTTTTGGCTTTCCAGAGTTCTACCTCTTTGCTATATACTTTTCGAATTATCTTCGAGTATGAGTTGAAGTTCCCTAGTGGGCTACTGCAACGATTTTTTTGGGGTCGGGGGAGGGGGGAGGGGGCGTGCACTTCCATGTTGTTGCTATGAGCTGAATTTCGTCATTTTGCGGAAAACTCCAAACTGATAAATGCACAGAAAATGGTATCATGACTTATAATAAAGCGCTAAGCGTCTGTCTGTTTGTCTCTCTGTGTGTGTATGTCTGTCTGTCTGTCACGAAATTCACAGAGTGAGTTGCAGCCAGCGTCTTGATCTAGAATTTTGGTCATAGCACCCTGTCAGCGTGTAGGTAAACTGTGCAAAATCACGTCGATCCAGTAAGTGTAACCTTTGAAAAATGTGCGTCAAACGGATCCACGCGACTTTTGGCCCGCCAAAATGGGTCGGTAATTGGACTTTTTGCAAAGTCGCGGATTTCTTCAGCAAGTAAATCCGAATAACATTGACTTCAGCTCAAAAAAGTAAGCAAAAAGTCTATTTTTGCACAAAATTGTCGCCAAAAAGATGTAATTGAGCAAATTGTCGACTTGCCAAGTTTTTACTACAAGAATTGAGAGGATTTTTAAGTAGATGTGTAGCTCAAGGTGGTCTTTATCCTTATGGCGAATATGAAGCCAAAATAAATTCAGTAACCCATTCGAAATCGCATTTGTTTTTCTGCGGGAAAATTTCTTCTCCCAAAATTACCGATCTTACATGGAAAAGCTCTAAAAATGAATGGTTGTTTACAGTTCATTCGTGATGTTCAGCATCGCGCGGTGAGTCTCAAAGTCATTATCATGCTATCACGAAGAAGGCACGGATAGTAGAGCCAGTGCGAATCTCTGCGAATCAGAGGTGACGCACTGGTTATTTAAAACGTGTTTTACTATTCATTTCAATTCTTTGCCCATCCACTTTTCCAACAGTCAGACACTTGCCAAGAAAGTCATGCACTATAAAGGCAACGCTTGCGCCTTAATAATTATCTTTGAGCGCATGCTCTCACTCTTGTGCCCGACCAATTACTACGCGCAACTGTTGTCTCCGACGTTAGAAAACTATAATAGACAAATCCACTGCACCAGCTGTCTATATAGTGATTTTGTAACTTCCAGTACTACTGGAGGCATCGAAAATGCTTCTTTTAGATAATCGACGTCTAATTTTTGCTGTCATCGTATAAGCTCATCCCATAGGTTCACATTATTTTCTTCAGGATTTGCTGAAAATCATGAGCGAAGGGCAGGCAGATATCGCCGTGATTGGCTTGGCAGTCATGGGTCAAAATCTGATACTCAACATGGACGATCATGGCTTCAAGGTTGTTTACTGCTTTCAGTCTACTTGGATCGGTTCTAGCGTCTTTGTATCTGTATGATCTTACAAGGGGAGGATATTGGTCGAAATGGGTTTTCCATATGAAATGTATAATGTCTTATAGTGCATGGAACGCTGATTCCAAACCTCTTTCCTTATCTGCAAAGCTCTTCTAGGAGGGGAGTTCTGGTAATTTTTGTTGGAAAAAATCCAGTGGTGTTGAGATCTTGCCGGTGCTTGAAAGGAGTAATACAAGAGCTTATCAGATTGAAGGTAGTATTGCATAAAACGCCCTGGTAGTGATCATAGCCCCATTCGAGTAGACTGCACTTTGAATGACCTTGTGGTAGCCGCGCGTTCGAGTTTTCGCTCCGAAATTCCCTTAGCTTCCCTCCCAGAGGCGCTTCGCAGATATGGAAAGCAGATTCGGAATCAGCGTCCTAAAATCTATAAGACGGTATACATTTCATGATGAAACGCCACTTCGACTTGTAAGTATGCTTCCCTTGTTAGACATCAGACTTTATTCTATCTTGTAACTTTGCTTGGGAAAGATTTCAAAAACTGAATCTCATCACTCCATGACTAATTGTGCCACTGCTTGACATCATCTTGGCGTGAATTTCCAAGGGTTTTTTGTTCGAGAGTCATTAAGGCGGATTTTTGATTCGAACCATTATTTTTCCCATTCAGGTGTGCGCCTTCAATCGCACCTTGTCAAAAATTGATGTTTTTCTTGCTAATGAGGCCAAGGGAACGAACATCATAGGAGCTCATTCTGTAGAAGAGATGTGCCAGTGAGTGCTATGATTTCGTATTCTGTTTTTTCTTACTTTCTCAAATTGATATTATTTTTTATAACGAGTAGTGAGGCAGTTTAAGTCTTGTTCTCTTGGCAGCTTCTGGTAGACATAAAACTTACCAGTTACAACGACTCGCTGATTGTCCAGTGCTCATTTTTGCTTTTCTTGACTATGCCAAATCTTATAGCTGGTTAGTATTGGATTGTTTTTGACACCTAGTTTGACTACAGACCTTTGCCGTTCCATATTCCAAGTAGATTGAAGTAATACTCTTTTCTTTACATTGAGCAATTAGTTGTCAGGCCTTTGCGTGGCCTTTGCGTTCCGGGAAACATGACATAGGCGGAAACGTAGAAAAGTTCAAAGTGGTCACCTTTGCTTATCTTTGATGTACTTTGTAGAAACTGCGGAAAAAAAAAATGAAATTTCGAGGCAAAAACCGGTGCAATGCAGGAAGTAGGAGAGGTTAAGTCGAGCTTTGCATTGCTTAGAAAACTTGCGAGATGGATGACTTCTTCTTTTCCCACCAGTCTCAATATCAGTGCTTGACTGGATGAACAATTTATCGAAGGCACAAATCTTTACTTCTTCGCGTATGCCTTCTTTTTCTTTGAAAATTTACCTTGCATCTCACTTTTGACTTGAGCCCGACTAGAGGTTTTAAAAACCCACATCGAATTTCCATGTTTGTGAACTTAAGACGATCTGACATTGTGATTTTCTCTCCATCTACTCGACCATTGACACACCTCTTTTTTATATCTCATACCTTGTTGCGAACATTCCTATGTAGGAACCTGAAGCGACCGCGTCGGATCATGATGCTTGTGAAGGCTGGAGCTCCTGTGGACGCCATGATTGAGGCGATTGTCCCTTTTCTAGAACAGGGTGATATTCTAATAGATGGAGGAAATTCGGAGTACAACGATACCAATGTAAGTTTTTCTTGTTCGGAAGTGTTGACACCGTGAGACGTTATCATAAATTAAGTGTTTATGTTCAACACGCTCAAGTTTTGCTTTAAGCGCCGCTATGCAGAACTTCTCAAACGAGGGATCCTCTACGTTGGCTGCGGAGTTTCCGGCGGAGAGGAAGGTAAGTAAGATTCTTCAAGTTTTACTTTTGTATTCCAATACTTCAACAGGTTTGCCATGACATCTTTATTTCATAGACAATGTACACAATGATACCCATTTGTGATCAGTTCATTGATTCTGAAAGTCCCTGCAATCAAGTCTGGCTTGAGAATTCTTTTATGAGATGGTTTCGAGCTTCTGTGTGACGAATATTGTCCACTGCTGACTCTGAAAATATACAAAATGGCATGAAGATAGTATGTTATATACAGCGTCAGGTTCCTATATCATTCAAGATACTAATTGAGGAACTTTACCACGCCACCATTCGACTTTTTCTTTCTAGTTCACTTCATTAGAAATACAATTTGTTTTTTTATATCTATTTCATTAAACCTAGTGAGTAGACCGTTTTTGTTAGGTGTTTGTTTCCCTCGTGTTTCTTATCTATATGTATAGACCAATGCTTCTTCACGGCTATGCACAAAAATACTTTGGGAATGTAAGAACACGTCCATTTTAATGTGCCCTTAAGATTTCATACTTTTGGAATCACAATGATACAAAATGTTGGCCCTAATGGAACGGAAGCGGGGTTCTGCTATTGAAACGTACTAAGTGGAGGAATTTTCAAGCAGTGTCCAAATCACAGAGAAAAACATTTTTCTCATCTAAAATTACAAAATGCTAATACTTACGTGAAACTGTATCGTCGCTGACTCGATCGCTGTTGAACCTTTTTGGTGTACTCTTATTTACCACTTCCAATCTGAAATTGTACCTTAATCCAATAAGCATTCAAACCTAGTTTTGCATTCAAAAAACATTTTGTGGTCGAACATAATCCTTTACACTTTTTGTGGAAATTTTCCATTGCTTTTGGCAGTTCTAGTGGGTTCTCCTACTTTTGATCTAGTGTTCTATATCCTATCTTATTAGTATGCTATCAAAGAAGTTGTTAGCAAACAATATCGCCAACACCATTCTGCTTCAAAAATTTAAGAAAAAATGCATAATTTTTGAAGTTGCAAGGGTCTCGTTATTGTTTCGGGACTTGCAAAAAGAAAGAAAATTAGTCTTGAATGCATTGAATATTCCTGCATGAGTGCCATACATAGGGTAAGCGTGAATGAGATAAGTAATCGGTATTACACACCTCATTGTAGCATAAACAGGGCGATGATCCGATTGTGAAGCTTTTTGTATACAGTTGTAAGCGATAGTCTCTAACCAGTTCGGGCTTTTACTCCAGTAAAGAACTCTGTCCTGAATCAAATGAGTTGGTCAGCTGGGCAGTTGTTTAGGTCAGAATTTGAAAAAATTTGAAATTTCTTGTAAACGTAAAAAACTTGTCACAAGAAAGCACACTTGTAGAATATTCAAAAAAAAAAGTTCGCCGTCAACATCATAGGAAACTGACCGTATAGGATGGGATCCGGTTTTGTACGTAGTCATTACTGTTCAGTTCAAATTTGTGAGTTGGAGCAAATGCGATCGGTGCTTCCGAAAATTCGGCAAATGCCATTTCTGAAATAAGCAGAAGAGCCATTGCGAGCATAGCTTTGTGCAAAAGTTCGCTTACCCTTTTTCCTTATGATACATAGCTCATCGCTTTCCATTGTGTTTTCAATGTCCTTGGGATTTGGCTTTTGAAGTTGAGCTTTCCAGTTGATGGTGTTGGCTTCAGTTATTCGGAAATTGAGATCTCCTAACCACAACACGCACTGAAAATACAAGGCCTATGAGTGGTTTTCAGTGATTAATTGGTCAGATAATCTAGTTGAATACGATGGATTCTAACGATTATATAAAGATAATAAATCATGCATAGAGTCTTAATTACACTTCGCTCGAATAATGCAGAAGTTAATTTTCTAGGCGTAAATGTGGGGGCGACTGATTTAAGTGATTATCTCCGGGCGCTCCATGGTGAAAACGTATAGCACTTTGAGGGTCAGATGGACTAGAGAGGGGAATTTATTGCGTTTATACAGCTGCGTACTCAGAGAGTACGCATAAGTAGGTGCTTCAAAGTTTTTTCTACAGGATGAGAATTTTTTCGAACAAAGATCCGTTGCATTAGACGAGCTTTCAAGATTTTCCAAGATCCTTGTCCAATCGGCCACTTTTACTTAATTCGAAGGGGCGATAGGACATATGTAACGAGTCTCTTGAACATTTTTTCAGTTTATGTGAAGCACTTTCTACAATTTCGCGATGTATTCTCGGAGGGGATGGCAGCGTCTCGGCAAAATTTCGCTGTTTCGTTTTCTACCTATTCGAAGTCTTCTCGCTCTGAGGAACCCATATCTGAATTTTTCAGCGCATGAAGATGCCGAAGAAGAGCCTTTTCGAAGCTTCAGGTCCTCATTCAGTAAAATCACGCCGGAAGTCTTCTGTACCTTGTCTCCCTCGTTTCGAGCTCCACCCACTTACACGTAATTCAACTGAATGCGGACCTGGAAAACTTTGAGAAAAGCTCATTTTCGCCATTTTCATGCGCTGAAAAGCCCAAATATGGGTTCCTCATGGCGAGAAGGCTCTGAAGAGGTGAATGGGAAACGAAATTTTGCCGAGACACTACCTTCAAGAATGCTGTCCTTCGCATGTTTGGATGATATGTTACTAATGTTTGCGTGGCTGCTTTGCAGAAGATTATAATGAAAATGCGAAAAAAATAATTTGCTTCTGATGTTTCATTATCAAGCATGTGAGGCTAATCGCAGATACCATACTTACAACTTACTGAATCGTTAGTTAAATTTTGAAACAGTGAAGATCTCGGAAAAAATTTCTCTTGTTTCGCCGTTATGCAAGAAAGGTAGTAGAAATTTTTTTGCTGCACTTTTTTGCATATCTCGTTAGAAATGGGTCAGCCCCGCAAAAGTTTATGTAAGCAATAAAAATTTCACACAAGTAAATTTGACTTACATCTGCATGGAATATGTCGTCACTTCCTTTGAAACTACATAAAGTTGAAAATTTCAAACTGCGCATTATTTTATGGTAATCTTGTATCCGTTGCAGTGGTGTGGCATCTGAAATGTTTTTCTTGATTTGTTTGCGGTAGGAATTAACCTTGTGGAAATGGCTGGAAATGGTTACTAATTTCATCTTTAAGACATTGTGATGACATTATATCGGAACATAAAATTATCGATTACAAGTTTAAATTAGTTTTTTTCCTCTTCGGTTTATTCTCAAATATGACTGACTCATCCTGAATGCTGCCATCAATGGTGATGTCAGTTGTCTGGGTTTTATGTCATTGCGTAATTGGGTCGCGGAGTCATTGCAATGAAGCAAAAACTAGCTTCTGCTTACGCAAACAATGTCAGATTATCAAAATGTCACTTACGTGATAGATGACTAGCAATGATGACAGTCCATCGCTGATAAATGCGTAAGCAAACGCCGATCGCTCCTTTCGTTCGAACTGGCTTGACAATGGTACTAGCAGGAACAAATTTGGCCATAGGTTCTGGAATGGGTCATGTGAGGGTTAAAGGCAACAGTTACCTGAATGCGAAGTTTATTTTCTATACAGTACGACCGCAGCTCTAAAATTGCCCAATTACGCGGCAGAAGGTGTATTTTGAAGCTAGCAAATCTTTTCAGAAGGTGGACGTTGCTGGGGTCGCCACGCCCATCAACGTGAGCGGTCTAGCGTAGTGAGCTTGAATCTTATTCCAGAGCACAAAAAATTTTGAGAATATGTTTCATACTGTGAAAAGCGAATCTGTGACATTGTTGTGTACTACTGAGACAATTTTAGCCATTGCTGTGGACCACACACGTTGATGGGCGTAGCGACCCCAGCAGCATCCAGCTTCTGGAACGATTTTTTCGCTTTGGTATATATCTTTTGCAGCTTTGGTAATTACTTGATTAGGGGCCTCGCTATCGTACTGCAGAAAAAATCTCACCAATCTTAGATTTGAGTGGACAGTGCCCTCAAAGATGGATTCCTCCACCTTTCTTTTTCATAAATTGAACTCACCTGTCGCGAAACGAGTATGTGCTTTCTTGATAAAGACGAAAATCATTTGACTCCATGCTCGATACGAGATCAAAGTGTTGTGCGTTTGCCGCAGTGGCTTAACGATTATAGCCAATGCATCCTCATGGAATGTTCTGGAATTCCTAATCATCGGCTATTTGTTTGCTCGAGCAAGCGAAATTGGGAAGGACGTATGCACGTGCATTGATTTTTAGTTTGCTTTCTCTATTATGCAAAAGATGAGAAACTAATAAGTCAGCTCGGTCTGTACCTTATTAGTTTGTTGAATCATGGTTACTTACTTCGTTGAAGGGGGAAGTTCTTGTAGAGCAATTATGATTATATCCTCAAGAATGTTTTCTGGAATATGTTCGAGGTGATCAGAAAGTAGATCCAGCGTCTTGACAGGCTGAAAATAAAGCATTCATAAGTTTGAAAATCCAAAATCAACAATGAATATATAACTAAGTTTTTCTCAGTCACCCTCTGTCATTCATCTCGGTTTTTATGAGTTTCTTTTTTTCAACTTTTCATTGCGAATCGTCTGTCACGCATGAAAAATGAAAATGGTGTTCTTCCCAGACTTTGATCTGACATAAGAAAGGGCTGTTAAGCGTTATGTTCATGTAGAAACGAGATTTTGCGGCAAATAGGGGCAATTTCGGGGTTTTGCAGTATGTATTGCTTTCTTGAGCACACTGCGGAAATGTTTGCGTCATAATTTTTTTGCCTTTATTGCCGAAAATTTTCCTTGAATGGTCTTTGAGAGGATATGAGAGCACCACTTCTTTTAATTTTAGGGGACGTTATGAATTTTCTGACCAATTTTTCATTGGTACAGCTTTGCAAACAAATAGAATTGAGTATGATTCTGCTCGATCGTATGTAAGCTAATTAGCCTTATTCAAAAAGTCACTGGCAGTTGATATTGTAGCGAAAAATGAAGCTAATATCATACCTAAGTATCTGTTCTTTCTATGCGTGAAGTTTACCAGTAATGAAATTCAAACCGGTAAAAAGAATTGTGTGTGCGTACTTTGATCGCGAAAATTGTAGCTTACAGAGTTTACGGCAATTAACCGACAAAACAATTGAAGTGCGGAAATTTCCGGTCAAATCTGCCTCATTAGCAAAAAGTACTTCAAGTACATACTACCTTATGCGACTGAGTTGAATAGGATTCATTAGAGCTCCTCCTGATTGTTTTGTTGAATATTCACATCAGTGAGAAAAAATGGTAAATCACATTTCGTAATGACTCACTTTTTCATTGATATTCCATGTTATTGCACGAATACTTAGTTTCCTATCGATTAGTTTAGCAATATTATCTTTCGATGGAATGGGTACATTGCCAAAGCCGACAACGGATTGTCTAAAATAAGCAGATTTAGATAATCAAACATGTTTGAGGATAGGATACAACTTACCCGCATATTTCGTTGTTCAAAGTGTACTTCCACGTATGATCATCAATCTCGGTATCTGAAAATTTGGTTGGATGAATCATTGTGGGATGAAGAGTGGAGCAATTTATAGACATGCTTTCTATCCATGATTCAGCAGTCTTTTTCTTGGCGGAATTAGGTAGATTAGGGTAAATGCATGACAATACAGTGATTATCGACAAAACTCGTAAAAACCAGAAAACTCACAACGACGTTCTGTTCGCCACGGCGGACGTCCTTGTGATTGAGACCTAGTAGGCGCTGAGGCAGTAGTAGTTGTAGTTTGTAAAGTAGATGATGAGCTTTTACGATTATCGGATGATTGAGCCGGGGGATCAGCTCGGGGATCATAGCGAAGCGCAGCGGCTTGAGCCGCTTCCGATGCCATCACACTCATTGCGCGCCCGTGTTCACCTCCGGATGACGTGTTGGCGCGCTGCCATGTGGGCGTTGCCGGGGCGACGACGACGGGGCTCGGCCTGCAAATTGTTTGAGAAGGAGACATAACTAGAAGATATAGCGCTAATGTGAGGGTCTGTGAGGGAGGAAATAGCCTGAAGAGTGGTGTATATCAATCTCCCGATCTCTGATTGGGCGCCCTTCTACCTTTCGAATTCGCACCCGATCGGGTGATGGGCACTCACCTACTCATCAATCTCAGGTTTCCGATCTTTGATCGGGCGCTGTCAGTTGTCTATTGAGCGGGCACCCGATCGAGTCTTTATAACGGTGCATTGACGAAAATTCATTGTGACTGGGAGATTGCTAAATACTGCGCGTGATGGGGAGCTTGGTTTTTCGTACCATCAAGCGCAGTATAAGTATGTTCACCCTATGGTAAATCAGCTGGCTTCAAATTCGTCACAATGTCAACTTGTCGATTTTTATACGAAAGCAGTATCCATAGCTGTTCGTCAGCCTCCTGATCGGGCGCTGTTTCACCAAAGGAGCGCCCAATCGAGCAATGGGCACTCATAACCTAGAACAGCGCCCGATCAGGATTGCGTAATTTATCAACGCCCATGATGGGGAAGTCTGTATGTTTATCCTCACCATTAGGGTAATGTTTACCCTGGTGTATTGAACCGGCTCAAAATTCATCACAGTGTCAACATGTCGTTTCGATTTTTTTTACGAAACCAGTGTTTACGCAGACGAGGTATCCGGCACGGATACGAAGCAATAAAAGTTTGCAAATTGTTTAATCTCCAGATGTGTCATCATGTATTAGTGACAGTGGACCTCGTTATCGTTTGGGGTTTTCAATGTTTCCTTTTGAAGCGGCACGTTTGAATTAGATGTGTAGAGTGTCTTTCCCCAAGGATGCCAGCTGTCAATAGTGCTCGGCCCTAGTTTTTGTGGACATGTGCTTGCGAACGATAATTGTATAATTTACGACTGCATGCCATGGCGTTCTTCATGCTCTGCTGGAGCCGAAGACCGAGCGGACCGCTTGCTTCCATGATATCTGCGTTTGTTGTGGGAATAAATGAAGAAGTAAGAACCGTAGGAATGGGGTGTGGGCACGAGGTTTCATAGGAGGGGGGGGGGGGGAGGGGAGCGTAAGTAGGGGCGGGGAGGAAATGTTCAGGAACAACAGCGTAAAAGTCAAGTATGAAAAGTTGGAATGGGAAAAGTAGCATTAATTTACCAGAAGTTATGACTTCAGAGATTATACAAACATCCGCGCATATCTAAAAAGTGAGGATTTCACAAGACCTTGATTTTTACCTGCGTGTTTCTATGATCCATACTGAAACTTAGAGATATTTCGTTTTGCTTCGGCCCTTACAAGGAGTTTTTGTCAACTCCCATTCGTTCGGCTCGAAAAATTTTGCAGTTTTCTCCCTGTTTCTCTTGGCAACAAAATAGACTGAATTCTATCGAAATTTCCGTAATTTTCTGGCTTACAATATAGACACTTGCACTTTTTTCTGTAATTTGGATATAGTGCTTATTCCAATAACACTTGCAAGTTGCAGAATTTTTCTTGAGTCTGAAAAACTGATGGCAGAATGGAGGGATGTATAGCGCCTTTAGCCTGTATAACGCAAAAACTGCAGAAATGCTGAAGTGCGCTTTGATGTTGTCACAGAAACATTCATAACCATAGTTCACCGTGTGTAGTGCGATAAAAACTGTTATCGTTGAAGGTGCGGTTTTTATTGCTAGTACCTAGCGTCTTTCGTAGAAAATGTGAAGAACTTTCTGGTTGGTGCGGTAGTGCAATATTTTGGTGCACTATATCTCTAATCGTTTGAATGCCAGGAAAACCGTGAGATAATTTTGGCTTCGCGTAGTTTCCATACTAGTTCAAGAACTACAGCGATACATCTTATCAAAAAAATGAAGTATAATAATTGGTTGAGGTAGATTTATGGGATGCTTTTCTTTTACTACTATTGGTCTAGCCAACTTTTGAATAAAATTAGACATTTTAAAATTCTGCTTTGTTTTACATTTAAGTTTGAGCTTGTGAATTGTTGGTGATTATGGGTTTTCTGAAAACTTTATTACACGCCTTGAAAAGGTCTCCGTATAGGAAGAGAGACACTATCAGTCAAAAATCGATGAATTCGATATATTCGATCTGGTTCAAGTATGGCAGCCAATGAGTCTGTGAATCCAACAAGATGTTCCAAAAAAAAGCAGTCCAACCTGGTTAGGATGACTGAAATACCGTCGGATACAAATAGCCATAGCATTTTCGCGGTTATTTCAAAAAATTATTGATTTTAAAATGGACAATTAATAACAAAACAAAAACAATAAACTTTCAGTTCTTGATAAAGTATATGAGATCAAAAATGGGGTTTGAGTTAACAATCTCGGTACGATCACTTTGCAACACTATCAATCATATGCCTGCCTGTTCTCACTCTTTTTTCGGCTTTCGGCCCTTCTATGATTTTGACGGTGAATAGTCACTCAAGAAGTTGGAAAGTTGGTGATTTTCATCAAAAAGAACTTCTCTTTTCTAGTTTTGGCACAATTCCCAGGGCTATTTTGTCAAAATTTCTAAAGGCTTTTCACAAAGGTAGTTACTCTCGGCATTAAGACAGAAAGTAATTATTGTTACGATTATGGCAATCTACAAGTGCTATACACACACACGTAATTTGGCACCTATATAAGCGTGGTAAACTGCATTTTCCATTTGAGCTGCCGCCTAGAAAGGCCATTTCCGCACGGCCCTTTTCGGCATCTTGTCAAGCTTACTTTACGAAAAAGGTGTGACAAGTGCGCTTTGCACTTTAAGTTCACGACTCTATGGCATGCTAGCGAATAATTCGTGAAGGCTTACTTCCGCAAGGTCGGCGTGATGCTTGCATGACAAAAAAGAGCCGTATCTTTTGAGGCGGAAATCAGGAACAGTTGGTAGTAGTTCTGATTTGTTGAGAAAAAGAAACGTCTGCCAAAAACTAGAAATTCAAGGCGTCAGGCACCAAATAGTCTCGATGCAAAGAAATGAGGAGCTGGTAAGGGCAAAAGCCTAAAATTTCCAAGAATTTAGGTGGTATTTGAACTATGTGCTATAATTTGAAGAGAATGAACGGTGATATGTGCTAACGCGCCGTAGCGTTTTGGCTCTCGGCTGTCTTTCCGTGGCCGCCGAAAAACTCTTTTTGGAAGCAATCGATGGAAATAGTCTTTCGCTCTTGGGAAACTGACACGCTTTTATCTTGAAGTTATCGTTGTGGAGAGCGCAGAGGAAGCAAGCTGTTGGGTTTTTGCGAAAGAATATCCTTTTCTATAAATCTCAATGTACGTTTTGTTCCGATTGTTTTCGTGCGTTCAGACTTAGCTATTACCAACCTAAACCTATAAGAACAACAAAGTAATTTACTATGGGAGGCCAGATCTGCATTGTTTAGCCTTAGATTTTGTTCTGTCTTTTCGGGATATGAAGCCCAATGTGGTCCAAACAAGCAGTGGCATACCCAGGATTTCCGTTCGGAGGGGGGGGGGGGGGGGGAGGGACATATAATTATTTTTGCGGATGAAGGTGCGTGGCTAGTAATATACTCCAGAAATTTTTTTGGTATGCTCCTCAAAATATTTGCGGGCCCATAACCCCGAAATTCCAGAAAAAGGGGTCGTGATTCAGCTACCTCCCGAAATTTTTTTGTAAGGTTAAATTGAATTTTCAGAAAATTTTAGAAAATTATGCTAATTATTTACAAGAACAAACAAGTCGCTTGCACATTTTTATAGCTGATGTAAGTAACTTCCAAAAATTTCGCGACCCATTCTCAGCCCCTTCCCCCTGCCCCACCCCCTCGCTAGGCCACTGTCAACAAATGATATGTAAGACTTCTCATTTGCGGCAGAGAAGGTCATGAACACATATGGAAAATTAAAACATATAATAAAAAGAGGCATTTGAGGTGAATTACTAGAATCATAGAATTGATCGGGTTAGAACATTCGGCTTTTGTGACCGCTGAGATCTTCATAATCTTTTTTGAGATTTAAAGTATCATTTGCGACAGCCTAGTCCCCGCAAATTAATTTTGAATTGTAAAATCTGATACACTTTTGGACAGAAGAACTAGCAGACAATATCAGTCAGAAATCGTTTTAGGTGAGCTTAAGTTATTACCTGATTCTTCAGGTGCCCGTTTTGGCCCATCATTGATGCCTGGCGGAAATCCAGATGCATGGCCACATATCAAGCATATATTCCAGTCGATTGCAGCGCAAACCGATGGAGAACCGTGCTGTGACTGGGTTAGTGAGCGAGTGCAATAGCTGTAGTGGTTTTTTCTTCTAATGCCCCTATAAAAAATAGTAGTTCCAGTTGAATGCGCAATTATAGGTGGGAAACGCCGGTGCTGGTCACTTCGTGAAAATGGTTCACAACGGGATTGAATATGGAGACATGCAACTGATTGCTGAAGCTTATGATCTGTTACTTGAAGGTGTAGGACTTAACTGCGATCAAATGGCGGAGGTAGAGTTTGATTTTTAATCTCTTTCTTAAGGCGAAGTGTTCCAGAGGTGTTGACTCTTTATGAACATTTGTTTTTCTGACTCTTTCCTTAGAGGCAGTGTTCCGGCAAAATTTCCGTTTCCAGTTTTTTCACCTTTTGGAGCCTTCTTGCCATGCGGAATCCGTATCTGGGTTTTTCAGTGCATAAAAATGGCGAAAGTGAGCTTTTTCCGAAGCTTACCAGGTCCACATCCAGTGGAAAATATTTGTAAATGGGGGGGGGGGGGAGTCCGGAACGAGGGAGGCGGGGCGCGGAAGACTTCCGGCGTATATTCACTGAAATGCGGACCTGGAATTTTTCGAAAAAGGGCCATTTATGCCATTTTCATGCGCTTAAAAACCCAGATATGGGTTCCTCATGGCAAGGAGGCTCCAAACAGTTACAAAACTGGAAAGCGAAATCTTTACAGGACGCTGCCTTTAAATGCTATTCTTTCTATGTCATCTACGAACTGTGATTTTAGGTCATGGAAGAATGGAACCAAGGCGAATTGGACTCGTTTCTCATTGAAATTACTGCGAACATACTCAGATTCAAGGATGAGAATGGGGAACATGTGCTTCCCAAAATCAGAGATGCTGCTGGACAGGTTTGTTTGAACTTTGAAATAAAATTTTTGAAGTTAATTTCTTGTATGTTTCTTCAGAAAGGTACTGGAAAATGGACCTGCTTCGCTGCTCAAGAATACGGTATACCTGTCACGCTGATTGGTGAAGCGGTGTTTGCCAGATGCCTGTCAGGATTGAAGGATGAGCGATCAGTAGCTTCAGAACGATTAGTCAGGCCACAAGTAAATCATGATGAGATTATACCAGACAAACGAGATTTCATCAAACACATCAGCAAGGTCAGCCATTTTGACAATTTTTACAAGAATTCGGCGTTGAGGATGCTTTTCACATATTGCTTTTATAGGCTTTGTATGCCTCAAAGATTGTTAGCTATGCTCAAGGCTTCATGCTGATGGCTGAAGCCAGCAGGAAATTCAACTGGAATCTGAACTTTGGAGCTATTGCCCTAATGTGGCGAGGTGGCTGCATTATCCGATCCCGGTAGGTACAGCTTTGATTAATGCTTATATTCTTTGCTTAATTTCTTTCCAATGAATTTTCTGTCAGATTCCTCGGTGAAATCAAGAAAGCTTTTGACAAAAATCCGGCTCTTCCCAACTTGTTGCTTGACGAGTTCTTCTCAAAAGCAATGGCTGAAGCACAAGTATCACTACAGCTTATCTTTATCTGTCTAATTATATATATAGAGTTTTTTCAGACGTCTTGGCGGATTGTTGTAACCTCAGCCATACGTTTGGGAATACCTGTACCCGCTATGTCATCAGCTCTAGCATTCTACGACGGTTATTCACGAAAGGTGAGGTTTTGGTTCATACATTTTCAATAAGTCATGTCATTTGTCATACCCGTATGCAACGACTACGGGGCATAAATAGAGCTGCTTCAAATTACTACTAAAAAATTGTAAAGATCCAGACACTGTGAGATTACCTTCCCTCTCCCACCTTAGCCATCCTGTCGCCGACGAAGTAATGGATATCAAATATAGTTCATTCGTTGACCGTACGGACTGAACATCACTACGGAGCACACGCCGCGAGGTAAAACGCTTGTCCCGGTACAAATCCGCCATTGTACAAATTCGTGCTCTCACAAAATTTTAGCCGCGTCGCGCGGGTCCGCCGCGTTTGTAGTCCGTGCGGTCAACGAATCAACGATATGTGCTTATTTGTCTTGGGCTGGGCCTGGTTTCTCTCATCTCATATATAAAGCTGAATGTCTGTTTGTATGTCATGTCTGTACGTTCCGAAGAGAAATTTTTATCCTTGAACAGATCCGGACCAAACTTGGCACACATGCACTTCGGGGCGGGGGGGGGGGGGGCTGTCAAAGCTACCCTTCGACTTAGTCGATATCGACTTTATTGATTTTTATCGATCCTTGTAGATTTGATACGGGGCTGGGGGTAGCATAGGGGAGTAATCAAGCATGCTGATTAATACAGTTTTAGTTTTTAGAATTATCCGTTACTTTTATTGGAACAATTTTAGTTTTTAGAATTATCCGTTACTTTTATCGATTTTATCGACTTTCGCAGGGTTTGAGCTATGGGGCCGGGAGTTGGCACAAGGGGGAAGTGAGCATGGTGATTACACACACAGCGAGAATATGGGCTTAGCATGTAGAAGTGGGCACCGGGAAAGGTTGTTTAGGGATAGGACCTTTATCATTGTGTTTTGACAGGGCTGGACGGAGCTGGGTAAGCCAATTAGTAACTACATAAACAGTGCTCACACCTTGATGGAGCTTACGCCGTTGGCTGTGAAGGTTCCTGAAAAATTGGAAATTATGGATTTTCTGGTTGAAACCTCAGTCAGCATTGACTAGATCGAGTCCTTGAATCAACTAGTGTTAGTTGACTCACGAAATTGCTTGATTGAGTTCTTGAAGGTTGGAACAAAAGTTCTGTCGCACCCAAAATCCATATTCTTGTTGATATTTTAACAGATTAGCTTGTATCTAATTTTATTGGGGAAAAGATTTCATGCGCTTTGTACCTGCGTGTAGCACGTTTTTCATCATGCATGCATTACGCAGATAGAAAATCACTCGGATTTTGATTTTGTGGCAGATCTATGACTAAACAACAGGAAAGTCGAAATTTTAGTTTTTTTTCTATAGTGTATTGAAAGCGGGCTACATGCAATAATGAGGCGCATGATTTTTTATCAAGTAAAGTCAGTGAGATTTTTTATCAAGTAAAGTCAGTGATATGCACCACCAAAAAATCAAGAATTTATGAATTTCTCAATATAGTGCGACAGAACTTTTGTCCCATCCTAATATCGCGGTTTTTTTATAGGAAATTGTCCTCGATTGTTTTATGGATAATTGATTTTTTTTTTAGAATAAGGCGGCTTTATGATTGTTCTCCTATTTCTTAATTAGTTTGAGACTCGCCATTACTTTGTCTGCTTATTATTTCTGTGCTTGCATTCTCAGTGTCCTCTTTGTTTGCCTTTGATTCAACTGGCTTGGCTGCTTAAAGGCAGTGTCTCACCAAAACCTAGTTGCCGAGATTTTTGCATTTTGCAAGCCTGTCGGACCTTGTCTAGCATTGCATGGGCTCAAAATCGCACGAAGTTCCCAAAAACCCCGTTTTCTGGAGGCCCGCGTAAGCAACGTGGACGAGTTGTACCTTCCAACTTCAGCCTCAGCCACAGTGGCAGCAACAGAGGGAGGTGGATGCCAAGTGGAGGGACATGTTCAAAAGCGTAAGGGGGGAGACCGAAGGAGTCGTTCGCGCGTACCAAGTCGCTCTCCGCGTACCACTTTGAGCGAATTTTTCTCAGCGAAGAGGGGGTCAAATTGAGTGGGACTTGTTGCATGGCCTATTTGGAGGTCCCCGTAATAGAATATGTGAAGATCCGCGCGACCTCAACTTTGGTGAAACACTGTTTTTAAAGGCAGGGCTTTGTGACCCAATTGAGGCGTGCTTGCGCCCGCGACGCAGTCTGCGTTTTTCCCGCGCGCGTGCTTTCTGGTCACTATCTAGCCTTAATTTTGTCACGAAGCCCTACCTTCCAGCCGCTAAGTCAGGTGAATCAAAGGATACGAGGTTTTATGCATCACTCTCTGGTCATCTTGATAGCATGCGACATTCTTTTCAAAAATTCGAAATTCTGCTCAAATTGAATCACTTTTATGTAAGCAATTTCAGGTTCTGCCTGCGAATCTTCTCCAAGCTCAGCGTGATTACTTTGGAGCTCACACATACGAACTCATGGACGCTCCGGGAGTGTTTGTGCACACCAACTGGACAGGCAAGGGTGGACGTGTTACAAGTAATGCCTACAACGCATAAGTGTGATACTGTAGCCCTCAAAGACGTTACTCGTTAGTTGCTAGTGTGCTTCTCAATTTGCCCTAAGTTAGTTGAATTGATATGAATTACATATGGATTGTTGATCTGTCAGAGCTACATATGCAGAAAATTCTAGATTTTGTCATAATGATTTTATTTTTGTAATTACTTATACTTGGTTTTTGTCATTATTTACGAATGTGATGATTTTCCTTTACCAAATGCTCCGTCATTAATATGAGGTCAGATGAGACGTTGTTTTGCATTTCACTCAGTTTAAACATATTGATTAAGTAACTTTTTTAATAATGTAACCGTGTTTTTTGACGGTATAGACATTAAATTCTTCCAGCAGATAATGACGCTCTTTCGAATCAACTTTAGCACTCTTCTTAAGATGTATCACAATATTCATTCTACTTATGGCGGCTCCGGTTACTATACCTCTTTGTCTGAGAAGCAACACCTATTACCAATCGTTAGATGAGTAACCTTTGATTCGACTGGCTTGGCGGTTGGAAGTCGGGGCTTCGTGATGTAATCAAGGCTAGATAGTGATCAGAGAGCATGCGCGTGAGAGAGACGCAGACTGCATCGCGGGCGCGAGCGGCTTTAATTAGGTCACAAAGCTCCTTCCAGCCGCCAAGCTGGTTGAACCAGAGGGGTTACATTTTAGGTTTGTGCAGAATCAGTACGCGTTCTTTATCCTGCCGCAGCAGTAGAGATATAAAAATGTAGTAAACATATCATTCGATAGAGCAAATCAAACTCTACAGGATGGCATTCTACAGTGCAAAAGTTCTATCTACTTGAAGTTTGGAAGAAAACTTTGAAAAATTCTAGCACTCAATAATCGGACTTCTGTTTGAAAAACCTCATGATTTTTTCAACTTACTTTAGAATTACTTATCATGTCATATATCTATCTATACACTTGCTATGTTTCTTCTATTTCTAGAAACTGAGAAAATCAATATTCGACCGCTCTAATGTGAGCACTTCTATACTAGACTCGGAAATATAGCAATAAATTTCCAGCCTTCTACGAGCCTTAGTTTCAAATTACTTTTCCGTTATCCGGACCCATTTTTTCAAAGGAGGTTTTGCTTCTATCGTTGTACCCGATGCGGTTTCAGCTTCACAGGAAAAAGTGTCAACCATTCGCCACGTGTCAAAAAAATTTGTCATGTCCTTTACATGTTCAACAGATTTTACCAAGAGTTTATGTTGCCCTACCTACGCAAGTTCAATAAGTTTTCTTTAGTAAATTTTGACCAGATTTCAACTTAATAATTTCAAAAAGAACACTGTCGTAATAATAACGACATGCTATTGTGCTCAGAATAGAGGAGTGCCCAAGGATTCCGTCATTCGAGACGCGAAATAAGCAGCAGCAAGGTATTTCATGCTTTACTTTATAGTCTTTTCTGGCTAAATTTGCATGGCGACAAAAGTTTGAAGAGAAAGGAGTTTTTGAGTTACTGCTGAAAGCCTAACTTCAAGATTGCTTTGCTTTTATAGAAAACAATTAAACGGCTTCAAGGTGATCAAAAATTCTCTTCTCCTCACCGCAGTGATTTTGATAAAAACCTGTCAAAATGGAAAACATGTCAATTTATTTGTGACACGCGGCAGGGAGGCGTCCTCGTTGAATCTATGAAAAAATTTATTCTTAGATTATAGAGATTATTATACTCTAGTGTATTATATGAGAGCTTTTTGAAAAAATGGATCCAGATAACGGAAAAGTACCCCGAGAAATATTGAATTTCAAACAAAACCGAAAAAGGCGACACTTCCGTATTTTTGGCCTATATTTCTCTTTCAATCTTGAGATAAAAAACACAGCAAGAGTATACGAATATCTGGTGAGGATATATATGCCTGACCAGGCGGAGGATCACAGGATCTTTGGAGGCATATCTGATTTTTGGGTGTTAAATTTGTTTGAGGTTTTCATCCCAAACTTCAAGTAGATCAAACTTTTTGCGATTGTTCAAGTGCCATTGTTTGCCTTGCTCTATCGAATACTATGTTTTTTTACATTTTCATATCTCTTCTGCAACCACCGAATGAGACTACGCTAATCTGCATTAACTCAATAGAAGCGAGATACGATGTAAGTTTGGAAACCTCTTCCACAGTGGGCATTTATAGCCAGCTCAGGATTTTTCCACTTATGGCGGAGCATGCCGCTTGGTTAGGATTATAGGGTGCTACAGCAACTATTATTAACCTTGGCAAAAGTCTTGTTCAATTTTAAAATAAATGGCTATGAGAAAAGCTATTTCGCGCTCTCTAAAGTGGATTCTCGGCTTTATCGTAGCAGCAAGCCTAGGTAAGCAAAAAAGCGTTTATTTTGGCCCGGCGCCGACTTCATATGTAAAGAATGCTCGTGTGATTAACTCAGTGATGGTATAATTAGCATCAATTTACACAATCCCCTTTTCTCCGAACAAGCTCAGGAATTATATGAGACACAAACATGAGCCTAAATGCTGATTTCATTCGCTTTCACGATGACTAAAAATAGTTTTTTTTGTTTTTAAATAGTCTTTGCAGTGATTGGCGCACTCGAAGTGCAACCGCAACTTATATTCTTAATTCAAATAATTTCACACCTCTCAAGTCTCTTGAGCCTGAATCCAAGTTTGCTGAACAATGAATGATTTTTCCCTCTCCACAGTGTCTATTTTGTTTTGCCATAAGTTGACAAGGTCTTTCTTTCTTAGAGCTATCATAGAGCATGTTCAAGCGGTGCCTAATGTGCAGTGTCTTTGCACTTTTAAGTTACTTTCATTTCACCTATGTCTTCATAATTCGAGTGGACCTCCTTGTGCTTTCGTTCGCGAACCATTTGCTGCTCATTTTGAAATTGCGACCAGCGGGTCAGTAGCGTTTACCGCACTTCTCTTGGTCGTCATCAGGCAGAACAACGTTAAGCGGAGCAGTCAATATATTAGAAAGCGTGAACGTGTACACGACACAATAATTCGAACTGTGTTTTGTATGGAAATCGTTATTGATTAGTATGCTATAGGCTAAATGCCATCTCATTGTCAGGCGCAGCGAAGTTGAGACGAGCCTCCGTTTTCTGGATGCGCTTCAGAAACAGCTGACTGTAGCGATAGTGAAGAATTTCTGGAAACAAAATACTGCAGACTCAAATATTTAGCTGAGACTAAGATAAGAGGAAGAAAGATACCCGTCCTACTTGTGGTGATCAACGCACCCCTTATTGTGCTTTCTGACTTTAGTTTTGGCCCCATAATAAATATCATCTTAAGATCTGATGCTGGTGTTTGATGATACTTTTGCTGAACATTCAACTTCAAAGGATCTGACGGAGGCGATAAAGAGAAATTGACGCCAAGCAGGGCACGGCACAGGTGGCTTAGCAAGCAAGCTGGATATCGTTTTTGGGGAAAAAGCAAAGGGGATATCGTTATTGCGGAAGAGCATAACGTTGTCTTTCGATCTGCGGCCGGCACGCTGCCGGCATGCCGCCAGCAAATAAACAAAGGGTTTATTTACAGCGAAGTGAAGGTGAAATGACACCAAAATAGGTGTGTAGATGGGCAATGGGGAGTTAGGACTAAGTATGAAAAATTATGAAAAAATTATGTAAATTAAAGGAGTGCTCAACTTTTTTCGGAGTAAGGTGGCTTTCAAGCCACCTGGGTAGCCGCCTGAGGTGGCTTAGGAAAGAAAAAGTCATAAATTTTACTCCCTCACATAATTTTTCTACTTTCTTTACATACTTTTCATCTACATCCCAAACCCTACAAACTGGTTGTTCTTAAACCGCCTCAAACCCCCTTCTCTTCGCTTAGTTATAGCCCCTCGAAAATTTTGAATGGTGGCGGAAAGGCTGCCCTAGGCGCGTATTGCTGCACGATGGAAACATCATGCCGCCAATCCGGAGAATATGAATATCATCGCGTGTGTTCGATGATTCTTTTTCGTTTTTTTTCCTACTGTTGCTTTGTTCCGTTCCATTTCATGTATTTTCTCTTCGAATGTCTCGTGGCGGATGTCGTAATTTCATTGAAGTCAAAGGGGACTTCATTTTTTGCAATTTCGGGACGCCACCTCGTGCCGAGCCCTGGTCTAGGGTCAAAGGGGACTTCGTAAAAATCGCAAAAGTCAAGAGGGACTTCGTTTTTTGCATTTTCAGCTAGCCACCTCGTGCCGAGCCCTGACGCCAAGATCAACGATGATAAGGCCTTGGACCGGGCATACTTCACGCAGTCTTACTGCCCGCGATTCTCCGACAAGACAACTTTTACGAGTTTATTGCATGCCGATCTTAAACAGTCGAGTCAAAAAGCTATCATATCCGAAATGCACGATGTTCGACATGCAATGAAAATTGTAACAATTGCGTGGGAAGGATTGCGAAGCGATGACCGCTCGTGTATCCCCGACCCTATACATTGATTACATACAAGGAGAGGATACTGGTCGAGTGGCGTTTTCATATAAAATGTCTACTGTCTTAAAAATTATGAAACGCTCATTAACGCTCATTACAATACCGCTAATAATTCGTCAAAAAAGTCGCCGCACTCTAGCGGAGTGCGCCGGATTGCGCAGCACTCCACTAGAGTGCGCCGGAATCCGCGTCGCATCGCCATGTTTCTTCAGTTTAGACGTATTCTGATTCCAAAAACACCGTTCGGCTTAGCTTGGCGAGACGCATCATCTGGTATGTAGATGTGCCACAATCTTTCGGGGTAGATAAGTATATTGTTATCAGTTTTCGCTCAATTTTGCAGATTTTTTTGTTGGATTGTCTAGTGTGCTGATGACAATATCGCCATTGATTTGCTGCCAATGGCACATCATAGGGATACTGTAGGAGCATGGTAGAGAGTCACTCTGATGTATTTGTTCTGAAATCAGCTCAAAGTATAATAGCGCCTACCGAATCTGCAAAATTTCAGTGAACATCGCGGAAATCCGGGAATTCCACGAAATCCGCGACTTTCCCGGAATTCCGCGACATTCCAGGAGTTTTGCGAAGTCATGGGAATTCCGCGGAATAATGGGAATCACGCAAACTACGCCGCACCATAACTTCCTTGGGAATTAATATATTCCGAATCAGAAAAAACCATTGTGTTCAGCTCGCCAAGGCAAATTTGATGCACAGCATGACCTCGATATTCCGTTTCCAGTTTTCTTTAATTCTTCTGCGAAGGTCCTTTCGCATAGATGTAACACAGCGCTTATCCAGCATAAAAGATTCCAGTAAGTGCTTAGAGCTGTGCTTGTGGGTGATCTTGCGCTAATTAGTAGTCGCAGACTTTTTTCCAAAAAAGATAGAAGCGTTGGTGAAATCTGGAA